CCCGGCTGCCGGCCGCCATCTTGGCTGACAGTTAATTTGCATATTGCCCTGATTAGCCAATGGGAAGGGTAGCGGTCGTACGCCAATTACCATGTTTCTCTTTTATTAGTGTAGATTTAAAGGCAGACAGTGCTCTGGGCTTTGTGATGGAGGAAGTTTCCTCAGAAGAGTCAATGGAAGTGATATCAGTGCCCTCCTCAGGCCAAAGACTGTGCATCACATTCTTTCAGATGAAGGAGAACCCTGGGCACAAAGGTATCCTCTGAGAAGAGCGGGTACACACCAGGTCTGCTGCTGATTACCTTGCATCTCTGCCTTGTTCAGGGGTCTTTCCCCACATGAAAATGTTTACATTCTAGGACCTGAACCTAGTCAGGCACTGACTGGGTGATGATCATTTGTAGTATGCAGCCTCCTCCTCTCCAGTGGCTTACATTACCAAAATATTATCTGGAGAACTTAAAAAGCATTGCAAATTGCATTGAATGTGCTTAGAGGATTTGTGTCCCAGTGTCATCACATCTGAACTCCCTAAGCTCCATGGCTTTCTCTGGGGAATGGGGCAATGACAGCACTCACCTCCTGAAAGGTCATGGGGTGACTGGCCCAGTTAAGCAAAGCAAAACCCTCAGGAGAAGTCGGTGCATGCTGAGCTCTGTGAGTGGCAGCTCCCACAGTGGAAAGGACTACTCCCTCCTGGTGTCTTGCTCCGGATTCAGGGCTCCACTCTCCATGGCCCTAACCCTCCTGGCCTGACACCACCTCCTCCTCCATTCTGCTGAGCTGGAGTGGCTGACCAGGTTGATGAATTTGGAAGCAGAATTCTTTGTCCAACCTTTCTTCCCAGTTTCTTTTTGAAGAGAAACTGCCCTTGGAAGTTTTGTATTTTCTGCTTTTCTCAGCTATGTAGTAAGTTTAATGATAAATGCCTACTGTGGTCAACGTGTCTGATTCTGGAGGTCAGAAGGCAACCACATTCTCTCTGTCAGCTCAGCCACTAATAAAGGTGTGCGTGTGTGTGCGTGTGTGTGTGTGTGTGTGGTGAGAGGGAGGGTTGGGTGCATGGGTGTGTGTTTTAGTCTCCAGCTGTCTTCATCCTGTGTCTTAATTTTCAGTTGGTTCAGAACTCAGGAGAGGAAGAGTGCTCATCGAGGGGATCCCTCCAACACCGAAAGAACTGCTATCTGCTGTGTAATTATCTCTTGGAAAAAATGGTTGAGGTTAGTTTTGGAGAGAAGTGATAGCAGTTTGATTTGGCTTTCCCAAAAGAACAAACCAAATTATCTACTCCACAAGGACATCTCATAAATGGAGTCTCCACACTGGGCTCCGAAAATGTGCCTCCCACTTGTTGCAGCAAGAACAAAGTTTGGAATAACATTTAGATTTCCCAAACTGCATGCAGGGATGATCCTGAAGATATCTATTAATTCTTTAGATACTTATTTAGTACTTACCACATTGGGAGGATATATGATATAATAGCTAATCACAAGCTTGTTGACAAATCCATGCTCTGCCTCTGTGTAGCTGTGAGGTTTGTGGCAAATTACACTCCTCGCTCTTTCAGTTTGCTCTTTTGTCAATTGGGAATAATATACCTACTATATGTGGTTGCTATGAAGATTATATAAGCTCATAACTGTATAGTATTTGTCCTATATCTAACATATGGGAAGCACATAATAATTCTTAACTATTAAGAGTTTTTGTTATTGTTGTTTATCTTCACCCAAGGATATTTTTTGCCATTGATTTTTTTAGAGAGGTGGGGAAAGGGAGAGAGAGAGAGAAAGAAATAATGATTGGTTCTGCTCACACGCACCACAGCTGGGGATCAAACTTTCAATGCAGGTCTGTACCCTTATGGGAAATCAAACCCGGGACCCTTTGGTTTGAGGGCCAATGCTTTAACCACTGAGTAAAATGGTCCGGGGTTGTTAAGACTATTTTAAAAATTACATACCAGTTATTGTGCTCATTGTTGTAACTATAATGATGAACACTGGAAGTTTCATTAAGGTCTGAGTCCTATGGTTTGGTCTAAATAAGTTTTCATTCTTTGTTATTTCATCTCACTGAACACTCCCAAGATAGGTGAAGTACAATGAATGACAAAGCTCAAAACTTGGTTCATGAGCAACATTTCAACTACATTTTAATAAACAATATTTTATTTTTCATAAAGTGAATTAATACATTTTTGCTCTAAGAGCAATGGGCAAACTAAGTGGCATAAGCTTGTTTCCTGGCTCTAAAATTAAAGCTAACTCTAAATTTTCTGAGGTGTTTTAGATATTTAAAGTAACAGATATTTTAAATTGAGGAGATTTTGCAAAAAATATACATATATTTAAAGGAATGGTTACAAGGTCCAAAGTTCCTTCCACGTGGCACCAAAAACATCCACACAAGATCCAACTTGAAGCTGCTCACTCTTGATGTAGGGACTTGTGTTTCAGAAACAGGAAGCATCTCTTGACAGCAGTGAAAGCTAGCATCAGTCTTCAAAACATTCTTGTCAACCATTCCTAAAAGAAGTGGGAAGAAAATCAAATAAACCTCAAAGACCTTGGAATCTACCAACATTGACCTACAACCCAGAACAGGATGTATTAGAGGTTCAGTTTCATTCTCACATAAACATCTCCTAGTCATTATGCTGACACCAAGAAAAGAAGTTGAGCAAATCATTCACAAACCGGAAGTAGGGCAGGATGATTTAAACTGGGAGTCAGGGTCAGAGAAGCCACTGGGGCCTGTGGAACTAGACAGGGAGGAGGGATTTCCATGTGGGAGACACTGGCCAAAGTCATTCTCACTCACTGAGCTTTACTCTGGCTAATTCCATTCATAGCACTGTGATTGCTAAGCGTAAAGGGTGGTAGAATGGAAGAGACCATAGCACTGTGATTGCTGAGTGTAAACAGGCAGGATGGAAGACAACTTTCAAGTAATTTATATTTGAACTAGAGGCCCGGTGCATAAAAATTTGTGCACTCAGGGGGAGGGGGGGTCCTCAGCCCAGCCTATGACCTCTTGCAGTCTGGGACCCCTCAGAGGATGTTCACCTGCTGGCTTAGGCCCGCTCCCTGAGGGATCGGGCCCAAGCTGGCAGTCAGACATCCCTCTGGCAGCCTGGCAGCACTCGGGGGGATGTCCACTTGCCAGCGGGGAGCAGACCTAAGCTGCAGTCGGACAACCTTAGCTATGCTGAGGAGGCAGGAGAGGCTCCTGCCACCACCGTTGTACTGGCAGCCATCAGCCTGGCTTGTGGCTGAGCAGAGCTCCCCCTGTGGGAGCGCACTGACCACCAGGGGACAGCTCCTGAATTAAGCATTTGCCCCCTGGTGGTCAGTGTGTGTCATAGTGACCAGTCATTCCCAGTCTTTCTGCTGTTAGGGTCAATTTGCATATTACCCTTTTATTATATAAGATAATGCTTAATCATTTTAAAATAATTTCTTTTTATTAAAAGGGTAATATAACTACATAAAATAAGAGAAGTGAACAAAACCATGTGTACTCTCACCTTTCTAAACACCTAATTAAATCATTGAGTCATTTGGATTCATCTTTTCTGGTCTTTTTTATGTTAAAAATATATATCTGTTTTGTCTTCTCTTTTTATATTTTACATTGGACGGCACAACCAATCTTTGTAATGGTTGTATGATATTTCCTTATATAGATGATATTCTGTAGTGAAATTCTATACTTTCTTATTGTTGGACACTGAGCTCTTTTTATTTTTATTTTTTTGCCATTGAAAATAGTGGTGCACTGGACATTTCATACAGATGTCTAATGTAGTACTTTGGATTATCCCTTTGGATTAATTCCTAGATGCAAAATCACTGAGTCAATTGTGTGAGCATTTTTATGATTTTTGTTACAAATTTCTTTTACTCAGAAAATGTGAGAAAACAGCATCACTCTATTTTCATTGATTTCAAATAAAATTATGTTAGCATTGAATGAAAATTGTTAATTAAAAAAGCAAATGTAAATATGCTATTGTTATTTAATGTTGCATTTCTAATTTTCTCCATATTTTGGGTATTGTCTCTTCCCTGATTGGCTGTCATATCTTTGCCTACCAGAATCATAGTGTTTTCCTTATCATTTTTTTTTTTACAGTTTTTCCATGTAAAAGATATTGACCATATTACAAATAACTCTTGCAAATACCTTTTCATAGTACATTGCTAGTCTTTAAATCTATTTTTAAGTATGGTCTTTGTCATAGAAAGTGGCATTCAAGAGTTAACCTTTTTTTAAAATGAAGATAAAACTATTTATCTGAAGGTTATTTTTTAACCCAGTGATATGTTCTTTGTAACATAAGTCATAGAAAGCACTCATATATGCAAATATTTCCCCAACAGATGCCACATTTGAACAATCAGCAGCCAGACTGGTCTATTCATTGTTCCCCCGAAGTCCTGTGTCCTCTATTCTGAACATCCTTTTTCTTTCTCCACAAAGACTTTGCTCATACTCAATAGGCAGCTATTTCTTTTTTGAATTCCTATAACTTCAGTTGGCACTATCTATAGTGTATCTTGTATTGTTTTGTAATTGTCTTATAATATGTTTTGTCTCCTCAAAGTCATAATTATTGCCTGTTTATATCTCCCACAGTACATGACAGCTTAGAAAATGAGCTGCTGAATTGGGAGCAGCCAATGTGAGATTTAGTAGAATATAGAAAGGAAACTGTGAGTCTATAAAGTTTTCAGAAATCTAGATTAAGAAATCTTATTTTAGAGTTAATTTTCCAAATGGGGATTTAGAAATTGTGTCATTAGAAGAAGCAACTGGCTAGTGGAATGGATATATTGCAAATAATGACTAGTGGAAAGTGTTATACAATTCACACTACTACACAAAGCACAAAGGAACTTCTGGCTTCAATCGGTATCTGTCTCCAGGAACAGGGGTGCTCCTGATCATGCCGAGGAAACTGGCAGCTTACCAGATTTTCATCCAGGCTTATTCTACGTGTTCTTAATGGTTTCCTCCCCCTTGGATTCATCAGGTATTTCTGTAGGCTGCCGAGTCTAGAAATTAAGACAGGAGATAACAGTCACATTAAGAGTCAGATCTATAAAGCAGTGCTGGTTGATGTTGTGACAGGCCTTTTTATTATGTAAAGGTAAAGACACAATGGGGGGGGGGGTAGGGTAAGGGTTTAAGGAAGTGGTTCTCAACCTTCCTAATACCGCGACCCTTTAATACAGTTCCTCATGTTGTGGTGACCCCCAATTTCATTGTTACAAATTGAACATAATTAAAGCATAGTGATTAATCACAAAAACAATATGTAATTATATATGTGTTTTCCGATGGTCTTAGGCGACCCCTGTGAAAGGGTCATTTGACCCCCAAAGGGGTCGCAACCCACAGGTTGAGAACCGCTGATTTAAGGGGAAGTGGGAAGGGAGCTGTCCCAGAAACATAGCCAGGATCCAACATCAGGGAGAAAAAGTATCCTATAAAATAAAAGGCTAATATGCAGATTGTCCCTTCTTGGCCCTGATTGTGGGCCAGGCCTAGGGACCCTACCCATGCACGAATTTCGTGCACCAGGCCTTTAGTCTACTAAATCACCCAATTTGATGATTTCTATATGTCTCACTAACTGATGCTTCTAATATTTAATGGACTGTCTCTCTCTTTCACACTACTTCCTCTGTATCAATAACCATTGTGCAATCAATTTTTTTAATTATGAAAAAGCAGCACAATAGGGGCATATATACAGGAAGATCATTAGCATCCTTGATTCTCTCTTCCATTCCACAAAATATGCTGTTAAGCTAATCCTACAAACCTGGCAACTGGCCAGAACTAAGGAGAAAGAAGGCCTAATCAGTGGGCTCTAGAAGCCATAATATTTTATTTTAATTCTCCTCCTCCTCACTTAAAAAAAAAAAAAAGTAATTTCCCTTTGTTATATTCTTGTCTTCAGCAGCAACTGTGTTGGAAAAATTAGAGGAGGTTACTGTACCCATATTTTTAAGAAACATGATATGAGGAGAACAAAAGAAGTTTGAAGTAGTTTACAAAGTTAAGAAGGGATTTACAGAGAATAATGGAAGTTTTGGATTGTTTGCTATGCATCAGACACTTTCCATTTAATCTCCACAGCAGCACTATGAGATAGATATTGCTATTATCTTATTCTTATAGATGGGGAAAGTGATGCTTAGGCAGGTTAAGAAATTTGTCCAAGGTCACATGTCTAATAAGTGATGGAACCAGGAGACAAACTCAGGAATTTCATGCCAGTATCCACATTCTTAGTCCCTAGGCTACTGGGTTAGGAGATCCAGGTAATAAGCAACATCCAGGAGGAGTTTCGAGGAAAAGCTTCCCCAGGAAGACTACAAAATACTTCAGGAGGGAGTGAACCTCCTTCTATTTTGCAGGAAGGGAACTTGGTATTAAAGAAGAGCGTTGGCCTCTTGAAGGCCAGGGAACTTGGATACATTTGAATCAAAGACACCTTCACTGTCCCCATAGAACTATTAGGATAGTATAACCACCTTTCATTCAACACACACTTGTGAGGATGTTGGAAGCCATCCACCTTGGCTGCTTGAGGCAGTCCCTGCAGGGATGTTTCAAGGGACCTGGCGTATATGGCATATTGTTCTTAATATGTTTGCTCCCCTCTTAACAGCTATGTGTTTTAAACAGGACCACCTCCCTGAGAAAGGTTGTTTCCCCAGAGGGGTGGTTGGTCGCTTAGATCTTTGCTTGGAGTGACCTCCTTCAGTTACTTCCTTGTAGCTTAGTGGAACAATAGAGTAACCTTTGAATGGAGATGGGATGCCCCCTGGCCTTTTGTATAGAATGGATAGGATTGGGACCAAATAGTATAAAAAGAAGAACCTGGCTATGATGATCACCTAAACACTGACTTCGTGTCCCTCATTCTTCGCAGACTCCGTCCACACCTTGGGGAACCCCTGGACCCGCTGGGGCTGGACCGCAGCATGAGGAGAGATTGGGGGGAGGGGGAGACGAGCATGCATTTTCAGAATTTTATGCCTAGTACTAATCAAGCAAGTGGACTTCATTGATGTACAATGTATTTTTAAACAACCAAATACATAATTTTCTGGCTTGTGTATTTGTAGCAAACACTCCTCAGACTCTGGGTATTATAATTCGCATCTCCTGGAGTAATACAACTAGCTTGACAGAGACTGGAATTGAAAGTAAGCTACCTAAGATCCAGCCTACTTGTAGGAGGTTACTGTACCCATATTTTTAAGAAACATAATATGAGGAGAACAAATAGATATTGTGAGGGACTTTCACTCTACTTCTTTTTGCCCCAATTTCATTTCCCGGGGCCTATAGTGTTTATTAAGTTGGGATCTTTGTACAAAGTAGTGGAGGGTTTTGAAAATCCCAAGATCTCAAGTAACCTATTCAATTTCATCATGGACCTTGAAATGAACCAGTCTTTGTCAGCCTTTCTGAATAACTTAGGTTAACCTAGTTATATTACAGCATTTATTATTGAGCTTCTGCTTTGTGACAGGAACTGTGAAAACAGGGGCAAGCTGCCTTCAGGTTGGAAGATCCCCAGTGCACAGCTGAGGGGAATTTAAGCCTTCAGTCAGAGTTTCAGCGCAAGGTGAAGGAGTGGGAGGGCCTTGCACACTACAACCGCAGCCATTCGGTAGTGCCTGGTTGCTTATGTGATTCAAGAGGAATATATTGGCATCTCCTGAACTTTGTTTTTCGTTTCTGTAGTATTTACTTCAAAATAGAAATACAATTTCCATTGTACCTTGTGCTAAGAGTAAGTGCTCATCTCAAAGTCTACAAAACGATTAGCAGGTGAAATCATTCAGAATAAAAGCAACACATTGGTAGTTTCAATAAATGCAAAATTCTTTTTTATCCAAAATACAACTTTAAAAAAATAATACTTTAAATTTACCTCGGTAGATTTTTTAAAGTGAAGGTCTTCTTCATATAGTGCGATTGAAGCTGCTTCAAAAAAAAACAAACACAACACTTTGTTAGTTCAAGCACTGAAACAAAGGATTGTTGAATCTCTCACAGTGAGGGCCTATGATCTGAAATTGGTGGTAATTCCAATTGGTGGGAAGAAGAGTCACTTTTTAAAAATAGGATTAGCAGTGTTTTATTATAAAGATTATGTAACAAATATGCAGAAAGTTTAGAAAATAGAGAAACAGAATCATCTATTGTCCCACCATCATCAAACACACACACACACACACACACACACACACACACACATATATATGTATGTGTTACATATGAAAGTATTACATATGTCCCCCAGGTATTCACCACATTATTGTCTGTGACCATGGGTTTTGCATGTATGCATACAAGTCCTTTGGTTGATCTCTTCCCAATCACCCGCACCTTCCCTTTGAAATTCAACAGTCTGTTCTATGTATCGAAAGCACCAGGTCCATTGGTAAGCAGCAGGATACATAAGAAAGTAAATAAGTTACATTCCATGCTTTCTTGTGGTTTATATTCTAATGGAGTAGACAGACTATCAAATGTACAAATAAAAAATACAATATGAAAAAATAGTACTGCATGCAGTAACGGGCTATAGGAGCACATGGGAGAATGCAATTTTGTGAATTTGAGGTGTTATCAGTGATGGCTCCATGAAGAAGCTGAAATTTAAAGGCTAAGAAGAGATTAGCTTCAGGGAATGGGGAGATGTGAGGAGGGGTCCAAACAGAAGTATGCTAAGGTATAGGAATGAGAGACTACCAGCTCTCATTACCATGTTGATGTGGCTCAGTTTTAGAATGAGAAGGGGAGATGCCTGATAAATGGGCAGATGGTGAAGGTTCTAATATCACGTCCTGCTTATACTTAATCTAAAACCCTTCAAATGATAACAGTATTGTGTGTCCATATAGATTCGGTTTTATAACTGTAACATAAAAAAATAAAATTTATTTAAAATAAGCAACATAATATTACATACATCATTGCTATTTTTACTTGGCATATGTCATTGGCCTTTTTCAAATTACAATGTGGGAAATCAATTGTTGATTGATATGATAATTTAATCAATCGTATTTATCATTAGACATTTGATTACTTCTAATATTTGTTTTTATAAATAATGCTCAAATTACCATTTTTTACTGGTTTTGCTTTATTTTTTCAGAGTAAATGTCTAGGAATTACATTATTATTAATTTAGCTTTTTATTGAAGTATAATGACATAAATAGAAATTATATTACTTAAACAAAAGATGTAAATGCATTTCATAACTTTGGGAATCTTGGCATATTTCACAGATATAGAACAAATACTCCAAAAAATTTATATGGAATTAAAAATGACCTTGAATAACTGCAGCAATCTTGAAAAAGAAGAACAAACTAGGAGGAATCACAATACCAGATATCAAGTTATACTATAAAGCCACTCTAATCAAAGCAGCCTGGCACTAGCACAAGAACAGTCATATAGATCAATGGAACAAAATAAACAGCCCAGAAATCAACCCAAGCCATTACATTCAAATAATCTTTGTCAAAGGAGACAAAAACATACAGTAGTGTCAAGACAGCCTTTTCAATAAATAGCGTTGGAAAATTGAATAGGTACATGCAGAAAAACATAAATAGACCACCAACTTATAGCATACACAAGAATAAACTCAAAATGGATAAGGCTTAAATGTAAGTCATGAAACCATAAATATTCTAGAAGAAACCATAGGCAGCAAAATGTCAGACATCTCTCCTAGCAGTACCTTTGCGGATATATCTCCTAGCGTAAAGGAAACTAAGGAGACATAAAGAAATGGGACTACATCAAAATAAAAAAGCTCCTGCACAGCAAAAGAAACCATCAACCAAACAAAAAGGGAGATGACTGTAGGGGGGAACATATTTGGCAATGATTCATCTGATAAAGATTTAGTATCCCAAACATATAAGGAACTGATACAACTTAACAAAAGAAAACAAACAGTCCAATTAAAAAATGAGCAAAGACCCAAATAGGCACTTCTCCAAAGTGGACACACAGAAGGGGACGCATGCAATACTTTCAATAATAAAGTTTTAAATATATATATATATATATATTAGCAGTGTTAAATATTTTTCACATTTTATTTTCAATGTAAATTTCCTCTGAATTATCTTTTACTGATCTACCTAAAACTTATTTTCACAGTTTTAATCAATGGCATAATAGCAGATATTAAATAATAATGTTTATCATGAGAAATTTGTATGAAGTTTATTAAATAGGTACCCATTCAGTTCCAGTGATTTATATCTCTGTTGCTTAGACAGTATGACACTATTATTAGTATTATTATTATTATATAATATATTTTAATTTTTGGGAAGAGCTACAAGTTTCCTCACTGATAATTTTTTCATATTATATTTATAATTATACATGTTTAATTCTTATAGATGAAATATAGAATAATTTATACCTATAACATAGACATTTTTAGTGCCAAAAATATTTTAATGCATCCATTAAAAATGTAATATGGCAGTTAAAAGGATTCCTCAGTACTCTAGACAGGATGAATACAATTTCCAAATATGTATATAGCTATTTTATAAATGGAAAGTAAGTTCTCAATTGCTCAAGGAAACCTAACTCACATTCTCGTGCTCCTGAAACAGATGATTTAAGTGAAGGTTCAAACTTTTTAGTGTTCCATCTGAATTTTTTCGTATCAATCGAAGTCTGAACAATCATTACCTTTGTGAAATTTTCAGTGCCTTGTATCTGAAAGTTGACAGACTATAAGTTAATTTCTGAATAAATATCATACCATTAAATGTTCCTCTTGTAAGCTCCTATCCCAAGCCCTCTCTAAATATCTGTGCCTGAAAATTGAAAACATCATTAGATATTAGAAGATATCTTAAAATCTCTGGACATGCTGGTTTTATGAAAGTCAGTATTCCATATACTTTCACTGATTTTTAAATATTTTGCTCATTTCTCTTAAAGTAAGAAAAATGATCAAGAGTTAATTATCAATGGTCCCTTAAAATATCACCCAAAGAGTTTTTTGGGGGGATTGTTTTTTATTTTTCACATGGCAGAAACCAAGTTTAAAATACCATGGCATTTCAGGCATGTAATTCAGCGTAGAGAATATAGTCAATAATATTGTAATAACTATGTGCCAGTGGGTACTTGAATTATCAGGGTGGAGGGGATCACTTCATAAATTACATAATTGTCTAAACACTATGCTATACACCTGAAACTAATAGTGAATGTCAACAGTAATTAAAAAATTATGGAAGTTCCAGAACTCCAACTGTGTGTTGTGGCTGTTTTCAGTGTGCTCTGAATAACATCGGTCCCCAGATCCACAGTGAGCAGGGCTTTATCCCTAGGGGAGTGGACAGAGTTGGGCAGGCTTTGGGCTGCCATGAGATTCTCCTGTTAGGCCTTCTACATTCCCAGCTAGCACCCACACCAATGTTCTGTTATTATGTATTCAAGACTAGAGGTTGAGAGCACCATAGTGAAGAATAACGTTTAGCTTCCTGTCAGTGGACATCACATTGGTGTTGGTGGGGTTCTACTTAGAAAATTTTCTTGTAACCATTTCTCACCTCAGGATTTCTCTTAGTCCCACCTCGTGTTTCTTTTGGGTTCCAGATTTAGCCTGTAAGTACTTTTTATCAAAGCTGTAAATGTTTTATTTAGTGTATTTTATGTTTCTTTCCACTTGGCTGAAAGCTTTTTTGAGGGAAAGTTGCAAGTTTCATTTGTCTTCATCACTTTAGCATCAAGCACTATTTCTGAACACACAATGCAGTATACACATGATGTGTTGTGGAATTGTACATCTGAACCTGTATAATTTTGTTAACCAGTGTCACTCCAATAAATTCAATAAAATGAATAAAAATTTAAAAATTAAAATATATACCTAATTTAATTGGCTCTAGGATCCCTTTCCATTTACTTTCTGTAGCTGTATTTTATATGTCCACTGATTTCTCCTGACACATGCCCACTTATTCTACCCCAACATACATACACGCACATATGATGCGTGTGTGTGTGCACACAGTCTTCTTTCTTTCCTTCTTCACATGGCATAGCTTCTCATTTGTATTGGAAGAAAACTTGGCAGCTTGAAAATGAGATGTTATTCACTTTTACATCCATTGCAGTGTAGCTGGGGAAGTACCACTGGTACTCAGTTCAGCATGGGCCCAGAAGAACGTTTTTAGGGTAGTATTGATACAGCCCAGAGAGTGTGGTCCTTTTGCAATGTCTAAATGAGCTTAATAGGCCCGCTTTTGCTATTTACCACTGAAAAATTTAACTGTGGCCAAAATGTACAGCTTTGCCTGCTTCGTTGACATTGAGCAGGCATTGCTTGGTGTTTGGGTCACTCAGTGCCAAAGCAATCAATGAACTTGGGATAGGCGTGTGTTTATGAAATGAGATGGGAAAGGAAGAGAGTAGGAAAGGGGAAAGGTGACAATTTTTCTAACATTAATACATTGTTGGACATATAGCATACAAACCTTGAAACATGAATCAATATTTCTTTACCTGATGGCATGTTAAAGGAATTAAGGAAGGTGCTTTATAAGCTTTTCGCAAATGACAATCTTCTACAGCTCCATGTATAAGGATGACATAAATAACATGTTCATCATAGATGTCACATTTGGTGCTCTTTGGTATATCTTTTACATAAACATTACAGAGCTGTAATTGCATCTTGTAGGTCCAATCCTGGAGGGAAAAATTTTTTTGTAGTCCACTTTTTGTTTATAAAGTTTAATATAAATTCCTTAATAGTTAATTTCTAACAGTACTTGAATGTAATTTCACCCAGAGAAAAGGATATATTTACATAAACACCTCTTACCTCATAGGATAAATGTTCCCTGATTTTTTGGGCAGTAATAGAAAGTCCAAGTTTTAGCCACATTTTATATTCAATGTCAGGAGACAAGTATTCAAAAGCATCATACAAGTGACTTTTGGGAATAAAACATGTCTGGAAAAAGTGAGATATAAATTTAATATTTTATTCTGTTCACTTATAGTTTAAGGAAATAAGCTTTACTCATTTATCTATAATATTAAACCTAAATAAGCTAATCTAATAAAAGAGAAACGTGCAAATTGACCGCACCTCTGCTATGCTCCAAGCCATGAGCACCAGCCAATCAGAGCGACTATATGAAAATTAACCCAGCCACGGAGCTGGAGCAAGCAGGAAGCTTGGTTGCCCCGGCAATGGAGGAAACCAAGCTTCCCGTCTGCCCTGGCCGGATGTGGCCTCCACTCAAGGCAACAAAGTTTCAATTATAGAAGACAAATAAATCCCAGATACCTGCTTCCAGCCAGCCTCCACTAGGAGCTTGGGTGGCTGGGGGTTGTGGCCAGCCTGCAAACAGCCATCAGCCCCTCACCCAGACTAGGCAGGCACCCCAGTGGGGACCGCTACCCTCAAGGGGGTGTGGCCAGCCTGAAAACAGCCCTCAGCCCCTCACCCAGGATGGCCAGCCACCCCAGTAGGGACCCCAACCCTTAAGGGGGTGTGACCAGCCTGAAAACAGCCTCAGCCCCTCAACCAGGCTGGCCTCATCCCCATGGGGTGAGGGTCCACACTGGGGGGCTTGACCAGCCTGAAAACAGCCATCAGCTTCTCACCCAGGCTGGCCAGGCACCCCAGTGGGGACCCCTACCCTCAAGGGGGTGTGTCCAGCCTAAAAAAGGCCCTCAGCCCCTCACCCAGGATGGCCAGGCACCTCAGGGGGACCCCCGGCCTGAAGAGGGTGTGGCCAGCCTGAAAATTGCCCTCAGCCCCTCACCCAGGCTGGCCAAGCACCCCAGCAGGACCCCCACCCTGATCGGGGACACCTTCAGGGCAAACCAGCCAGCCCCCACTAGTGCACCAGGCCTCTATCCTATATAATAAAAGGCTAATATGCAAATTGATCCTAACAGCAGAACGACTGGGAATGACTGGTCACTATGATACACACTGACCACCAGGGGGCAGACGCTCAATGCAGGAGATGCCCCCTGGTGGTCAGTGCACTCCTACAGGGGGAGCTCTGATCAGCCACAAGCCAGGTTGACGGCTGCCAGCACAGCAGTGGTGGCAGGAGCCTCTCCTCCCTCCTCAGCAGCACTAAGGATGTCCAACTGCAGTTTAGGCCTGCTCCCTGCTGGCAAGTGGACATCCTCTAAGGGTTCCCAGGCTGCCAGAGGGATGTGTGACTGCTAGCTTAGGCCCGTTCCCCCGGGGAGCGGGCCTAAGCCAGCAGGTGGACATCCCCCGAGCGTTCCCAAACTGTGAGAGGGCACAGGCCGGGCTGAGGACCCCCAACCCCGAGTGCACAAATTTTTGTGCACTGGGCCTCTAGTTGAAAATAAACAATTGGTGTCATTATGACTTATATTCTTTTATGTATTTGTGGGGTTCAATTTTTGCTGCTATTGTTCTTTGCGTGTTCAAATTAGGCCAGTGGGAGCCTCTGTTGCTTTGAGGATTTTGTCTTCAATCTTGTCTAGGGAAACTCCCATTCACTTTACTCAATTGTTCTATTAGCAGATCTTAGCTGTCTCAGTTTTCCCCCTTTTTACCCTCCGGATTTTGTATTCATAGTTAACACATCCCGCCTAATTTCCTCATGGGAGATCTCATATGATTGGTTTTTCTGATTAAATGCTTCTTTCAATAGTGTAGCTTAACTTTTATTTATTTATTTTTAGCCCTCACCTGAGGATATTTTTCCCATTGCTTTTCAGAAAGGAGGGAGAGAGAGAGACAAAGAAAGAGACAGAGACAGAGACATCTGACTGGTTGCCTCCCGCATGCACCCGGACTAGGGGCCAGGAGCAAACACGCAACCCAGGTACCTGCTCTTGACCAAGAATTGAAAGCGCAATTCTTTTGTGCCCAGGTGGACACTCAAATCAGAGCAACACTGGCCAGGGCATTGTAGGTTAACTTTTGCAAGGTATTTTGTCAGGATGTTATACTGGATAAGTACAATTATGTTAACAAGTTCTGTTCCTTTGCCATTTCTTTTTTGTTTTTAATTCCCACTATCAGGGGTGGGCAAACTTTTTGACTCGAGGGCCACAATGGGTTCTTAAACTGGACCAGAGGGCCGGAACAAAAGCATGGATGGAGTGTTTGTGTGAACTAATATAAATTCAAAGTAAACATCATTACATAAAAGGGTATGGTCTTTTTTTTCAATAGTTTTATTCATTTCAAACAGGCCGGATCCGGCCCGCGGGCCGTAGTTTGCTCACGGCTGCACTAGATGGTAAGCATATACAGTACTAAGTACAAAGATAATCTTAAATTTGATACTAGATATTTAACAAGATACAACAGTAAGACATAGGTGATGTTTTCTGACCTCCACTACAGTTTTGCAGACGGCAGAATATTTCATGGGTTCATTAGTTAAACAGTTCAGCTCTCCTATTATTTCCCCACTGATCACATAGTCTGTGAAAATTATCTGATGATCTTTTCCCTCTGATTCAGAGAGTAATTGGTCAGCTATCAAACCCGATTTTGATCTTTGAAGCTGTTCAGGAACAAAAAAAGAGAAAAATATGTATGCCAGATAATATACCAAAACTATCTAATTTATGGTTTTCTTTACTGTTGGTTTTAATAATTTTAATATGTGCATATTATTTTGAAAATATTTATTACTTGTATTTTTAAGCATATTTATTAAATTAGTAATGACTTAGAAACAAAGCATTCTTAAATACTTCAATCTTTCTGATTCCTCCTACTCAGTCAACCTATACCTGCCTTAAATGGCTTAATGCCCAACTCAGACAAATGCAAGATGAATAACAATTTATATTATAATTTTTTTATCTTAAATATGATTCTTTTATTTTTTTTTTGTTATCTATGGGAAAGTACAGCTTCAAAAGTGGTGGGTGGCGTTATCCATTGTGTTTGAACAAGAAGAATTGCTGTTCAGATGGTAGCTGCTAACTTAAAAAAGAAACAGTGTAGTCCTTAACAGAGAAAACTACTAATTCTCAATTTTATAAAGTTTTAAACTAATGCTCACAAGTGAATTTATAAATAACTCTTCCTTACCTTTATCATACCTGAAATAATTATATAAATTCCTAAGGTCTCATCACCTTCTTCAAATATAGTATTTCCACAATCAAAAGTTATAAGTTTGGCTTTTTCCTAGAATATAATCACCAAATACATGCTATAAACAATATTTTAGCAGTGGTTGGGGATGTTGAAGTTTACACTTTAATACTGTTTTTACAATTTTAAAGTAAATATCACTCAGTAAGATTTGAGGCATTGCATTAGTAATAAATTTGAAAGAGAAAATAGAAATTATGAATAGCAAGGAGGAAAAGGTGAACATTCATACATATATCTGATGGGGAATGTATACATGGGTTAAGAAGAAATAATCTAACCTAGGAATAAGAATGTAATGGAAGAATGAAAATATTTTGTCTGGATGAAAAATAATAACAGATGCAGGCTAATGGCAAATATATGTTTCATATATACTTATGCTCTTAAACATCAGATGAATAAAAATGTATTTATTCTAAATATTTTAATCAGGTGGACAAATATAACTGGTCTTTTGGCACCATGTAGATGTAGAGAATGAATCTATATATATAAAAGCCTAAGTGATCGGCTGACTGGCTGACCAGCCAACCAACCAGTAGGTAGCTATGATGGACACTGACCACCAGGGGGCAGAAGCTCATCACAGGAGCTGCTGAGCTACATTCACTGGCAGCTGTGGTTCTTGGGTGACACACTGGAACCAGAGAGGAGGGAGCCCGATTCCCAGGGTGTGTCACCGAGAACTGCCTTCTCACAATCTGAGACCCCTCAGGGGATGTCAAAGAGCCGGTTTCAGCCTGATTCCTGTAGGCTAGGCCGAGGGACCTCACCGGTGAATGAATCCGTGCATCAGGCCTCTAGTGTTATTAGAACAAGATAGGCCCATTTATTTGTTTATTCCATAAACACTTACTGAGCAACCCTATTCAATAAGCAAAGTGTCAGGGGATGAATAGTCAGAAAACAAATGAGTTAAAAAATATAGTTCAGGGAGAAAAAATGGTGACCGGCAGGAAGGTAGGGAGGGAGAGAGTGTGAGAGTGCAAGGAAGTGATAGAGGAGTGCGTGGACGTGTGTGGTGTGTGTGTGTATGAGCTAGGGACAGTTAGATTCTGCAGGTCTTCTAAGGGGCTGCTAAACTGGGAAGTCTTAGGAGGCAGAGGCCCGCTGCCTGCGCGGACACTCTTGGGCGGCCAGCACGGGCACAGAGACCACGCCATCTTGGGAAACAGAGCTGCTTGAGACTAGCCTCAGCACCACCCAGTCTGATCTCAGACCCATACCAGGACCCTGCAGCCACTGGGAACAGAGACCTGTGACCACAGCTACAGACCTGCGGACACCAAAAGTTCAGAAATCCCTGCGGCAGATCCCTGAGTAACAGAGCCTATCCCCCTCCCTGCAGGCGCGTGGGCGGCGCCATAGTAACTGATAGACCCACCCCTTGCCCGGGCCTCAGTGCTACCACAGGAACTTTAGCCTGGAAGTGCGCGAGCACCTTGGAACTGGTCCCACGTAGTGCCTGCTTCAGGAGTCCTGGGCTGGGAGCAATCGCGCGAACACCGAAAATTTGTCCCGCATAGCACGGGGCCCAGGGACCCCAATTCTCTGGGCAAGAGGCAGCACCAAGCACCAGTGACTTGACTGTGTTTCTTATCACCTGCGCCTGAGATCCCTGACTCCCTGTTCATTCATACTAAGAGCCAGTGACTCCAATTCTTGGTGCAAGGGCACACAGGGACCCTGATTCTCAATGCGAGGTCGAGCGAAGCAACAGAGACTCTGAGACTGGATTCTTGGGGAACTCTGACTCCTGGCGCACGGTAGGGGGCGCTGACTTTCAACACGCTCGGGGGGGGGGGGGGGGGGGGGGAGGCGGGGGTGTGTGTGTCTCTGTTTCAGCATTGTGCAGGCAGGGTCCCTGATTCTAAGGGCATGCACAAGGCCACATTGAGTGCTGGCAACACTGACTCTGAGCGAGCCTGGTTCCCACCAACCCACAACAACAACACATCTTAGTGTCAGAGCTCTTCAGTGACACTAGGGTGGTGTAAGGCTCCCACTGCACACGGCCCAGGCCCACACAACTCGAGGTTTGAACCATCTGGAGATAATCAGAATGAAGAGATGACACAACACCCAGAGGAAAGACAATGAGGAGTCGCCAAGCAAGGAAATTAATGAAGTTGAATCATGCAACATGACAGAAAAAGAATTCAGAATAATGGTTGTACAATTCATTCACCAGATGGATGAGAAAATCAACAACCTATTCAAGAATCAGGAAGAAATGAAAAGTGATATAGCTACAATCAAAAACACCATGGAAAATTTCAACAGCAGACTAGAAGAAGCAGAAGACTGAATTAGTGAGTTAGAAGATAAGGCAGAGAAACAAGCTCAATCTGAACAGCAACTGGAGAAAAAAATTAAAAAGCAGGAGGAGAGCCTAAGGGAGCTTTGGGACAACATGAAACGAAGTAACATACGCATAAAAGGGCTGCAAGAAGGACAAGAAGAGCAGCAAGGATTAGACAATCTATTTGAAGGAATAATGACAGAAAACTTCCCAGATATGGGGAAGAAAAGAGTTACACAAGTACAGAGAGTCCCAAACAAGATGAACCCCAAAAGATCCACGCCAAGACACGTCATAATAATGATGGCAAATGTACAGGACAAAGAGAGAATCTTAAAGGCTGCAAGAGAGAAACAGAGAGTTACCTACAAAGAACCCCCCATCAGATTATCAAATGATTTCTCAACAGAAACACATCAAGCTAGAAGGGAATGGAAGGAGGTATACAAAGTGTTGCAAAGCAAAGGTCTGAATCCAAGAATACTATATCCAGCAAGACTATCAATCAAAATTGACGGGGAAATCAGGAGCTTTGCAGACAAAAAAAGGCTAAGGGAGTTTATCACTACCAAGCCAGGACTGCAAGAAATGCTAAAAGGAATGCTGTAAAAAGAAGAAATATAAAGGTAAGAAAGAACACAGGCACGAAAATAGAAATGAATCCAAGCATGTACCTTTCAATAATAACTTTAAATGTAAACGGACTAAACACTCCAATCAAAAGACATCGAGTGGCTGAATGGATAAAAAGACATGACCCATATATATGCTGTCTACAAGAGATCCACCTCAGAAAAAGGGACTCACACAGACTAAAAGTGAAGGGATGGAAAAACATCTTTCAGGCAAATGGAAATGAAAAAAAAAAAAAAAAAAGCTGGGGTAGCAATACTTATATCGGACAAAATAGACCTCAAAGTGAAGGCCATAACAAGAGATAAGTAAGGCCACTTCATAATATTAAAGGGATCGCTATAACAAGAGGATATAACCCTTATAAACATATACGCACCCAATGCAGGAGAACCCAAATACATAAAAAACCTCCTGGAAAATAACAAGGGAGAGATCAACAACAACACAATCATAGTAGGGGACTTAAACACACCACTGACATCACTGTATAAATCCTTTAGACAAAAAATCAGCAAAGAAACAGCAATCCTAAATGACTCACTAGATCAGATGGACTTAATTGACATCTTCAGAACATTTCACCCCAAAGCCACAGAATATGCGTTCTTCTCAGGTGCACATGGAACAACTTCAAAAATAGACCACATATTGGGTCACAAGTAAAGTCTCCCCAAATACAAGAAGACTGAAATCATACCAAGCATCTTCTCAGATCACAAGGGCATAATATTAGAAATAAACCACAATAAAAACAATCCAAAAAACGCAAACACTTGAAAGCTGAATAGCATGTTACTAAATAATGATTGGGTTACCACTGAGATCAAAGTAGAAATTAAAAACACCCTGGAAACTAATGACAATAACAGTACAACAACCTAAAATCTATGGGACACAATGAAAGCAGTCCTGGGAGGGAAGTTTATAGCACTACAGGCCTACCTCAAAAAACAAGAAAAAATGATAGTAAATCATTTAACTCTACAACTCAATGAATTAGAAAGAGAACAACAAAAAAATCCCAGAGTGAGCAGAAGAAAGGAGATAATAAAGATCAGAGCAGAAATAAATGACATAGAGACCAAAAAAACAATACAAAAGATCAATGAAACCAAGAGCTGGTTGTTTGAAAGGATAAACAAGATTGATGAGCTCCTCTAGCCAGGCTCACCAAGAAGCAAAGAGAGAGGACTCAAATAAACAAAATCAGAAATGAAAGAGGCGAAATAACAACAGATCCCTCAGAAATTCAAAGAATTGTTAAAAAATACTATGAACAACTTTACTCTAACAAACTAGACAACCTGGAGGAAATGGACATATCCCTAAAAAAATACAATCTTCCAAAACTCAACCCAGAGGATTCTAAAAATCTCAATAGGCCAATAACGATGGAAGAAATTGAAGCAGTCATCAAAAAGCTCCCAGCAAACAAAAGCCCGGGGCCAGACGGCTTCACAGGGGAGTTTTACCAAACATTCAAGGAAGAAATAAAACATATCCTCCTCAGACTATTCTAAAAAATTCAAGAAGAAGGAACACTTCCCAGCTCATTCTATGAAGCCAGCATCACCCTAATACCAAAACCCCATAGAGACAACACAATGAAAGAGAATTATAGGCCAATATCCCTCATGAACATAGACACCAAAATACTCAACAAAATTCTAGCAAATCGGATCCAGCAATACATCAGAAAGATCATACACCATGACCAAGTAGGATTCATCTCAGGGATGCAAGGATGGTACAATATCCGCAAATCAATAAACGTGATTCATCACATAAACAAATTGAGAGATAAAAACCACATAGTCATATCAATTGATGCAGAAAAAGCTTTCGACAAAATTCAACACCTTTTCTTGATAAAAACTCTCAGCAAGGTAGGAATAGAAGGATCATACCTCAACATAGTAAAATCCATATATGACAAACCCACAGACAACATCATAATCAATAGGCAAAAACTAAAACCATTTCCCCTGAGAACAGGAACAAGACAGGGATGCCCCCTCTCACCACTCCTGTCCAACATAGTACTGGAAGTACTAGCCATTGCAATCAGACAAGAAGAATAAATAAAAGGTATCCAAGTTGGAAAACAAGAAGTAAAACTGTCCTTATTTGCAGATGACATGATACTGTACATAGAAAACGCTAAAGACTCCATCCAAAAATTATTAGAGTTAATAAATGAACTCGGCAATGTAGCAGGATACAAAATTAATGCCAAGAAATCTAAGGCATTTCTTTACACCAATAGTGAATTTACAGAAAGGGAGACTAAAAAAAGCAATCCCATTTACCATAGCACCCAAAAAATTAAGATACCTAAGAATAAACTTAACTAAGGAGGTAAAAAACTTATATGCGAAAAACTACAGGACACTGAAAAAAGAGACAGAGGAAGACATAAACAGATGGAAGAACATACCGTGTTCAGGGATTGGTAAAATCAACATCATCAAAATGTCCATACTACCCAAAGCAATCTATAGATACAATGCAATCCCCATTAAATTACCAACGGCACATTTCACAGATCTAGAATGAACGTTCCAAAAATTCATCTAGAATAAAAAAAGACCTTCAATAGCTGCAGCAATCCTGAGAAAGAAGAACAAAATACGTGGGATCTCAATACCAGATGTCAAACTGTATTACAAAGCCACTGTTCTAAAAACAGCTTGGTACTGGCACAAGAACAGACATATAGATCAATGGAATAGAATAGAGTACCCAGAAATTGACCCAAAGCACTATGCCCAATTAATATTCAACAAAGGAGGCAAGAGCATACAATGGAGTCAAGACAGTCTCTTTAGTAAATGGTGTTGGGAAAATTGGACAGATACATGCAAAAAGATGAAACTAGACCACCAACTCACACCATACACAAAAATAAACTCAAAATGGATAAAAGACTTAAACGTAAGATGGGAAACCATAAAAATACTAGAGGAATCCGTAGGCAGTGAAATAGCAAACATATGCCGAAGGAATTTCTTCCCTGATAATGCTCCTAGGGCAATGAAAACTAAAGAGAAAATAAACAAATGGGACTACATTAAAATAAAAAGCTTTTGCATAGCAAAGGAAACCATCAACAAAACAACAAGAAGACCCAACGCATGGGAGAACATATTTGCCAATGATATCACTGATAAGGGTTTAATCTCCAACATTTACAAAGAACTCATGAAACTTAATAATAGGAAGATAAACAATCTAATCAACAAATGGGCAATGGACCTAGATAGACACTTTTTGAAAGAGGACATACAGAGCGACGAAAGACATATGAAAACATGCTCAAAGTCACTAATTATATGAGAGATGCAAATCAAAACGACTATGTGGTATCACCTTACACCTGTCAGAATGGCTATCATCAACAAATCAACAAACTACAAGTCTTGGACAGGATGTGGAGTAAAAGGAACCCTTCTGCACTGCTGGTGGGAATGCAGAGTGGTGCAGCCACTGTGGAGAACAGTACGGAGCTCCCTCAAAAACCTAAAAATGGAACTCCCATTTGACCCAGTGATCCCACTTCTAGGAATATATCCCAAGAAGCTAGAAACACCAATCAGAAAGGACATATGCACCCCTATGTTCATAGCAGCACAATTCACCATAGCTAAGATTTGGAAACAGCCTAAGTGCCCATCAGCAGATGAGTGGATTAAAAAACTGTGGTACATTTACACAATGGGATATTACGCTGTGGTAAAAAAGAAGGAACTCTTTCCTTTTGCAACAGCTTGGATGTCACTGGAGAGCATTATGCTAAGTGAAATAAGCCAGTCAATGAAAGAAAAATACCACATGATCTCACTCATTTGTGGACTATAGAGAACAACATAGACTGATGAACAGGGACAGATCCAAAGACAGAGAAACAGTGATCAGACTATCAATCCCCAGAGGGAAAGTAGGGGAGTGTGGGGGTTAGGGGAAGAGATCAACCAAAGGACTTGTTTGCATGCATATAAGCCAAACCAATGGACACGGACAACAGGGGGATGAGAGCATGAGTGGGGGTGGGGGGAAGATGGGGGTTAATAGGGGACAATGAGGACACATTTGTAATTCCTTAACTAATAAGAATTTAAAGATAAAAAATATGTAGTTCACGAGGGAGCTATAAAGATGATTGTAATGTATATACTTAATGTTATAATAAAGATATATAATGAGTACAATGGTGATCCCTTTGGTCCTTCAAACTGGGGATGGACCACAGGATGATCTATTGGTAGGGTGTTTGACCCCAAAGCCTACTTTTTTGTGTACCCTCTGCAGGAATGTTTTCAAAGAATCAATAATCAGGGAAAGTTTGGGAAAAAAAGGTGAGAAAAAGGGCATTTCAAGAAAAGTCAATAATACTCACAGAGGAATAGAATTAGAAAACAGTATAAAATGTTTGAAGCACCATGAATGGTTCAGTATAGAATATAGAGTATAAGTTGAATGAGCAACAGAAGATGAAGATGGAAAGATAGGCAGGAAGCAGTCTGTAGAAGACTTTGCATGCCATTCAAAGGGATTTTGATTTTATCCTATAGGCAATAAAGGACATTTAAGGAATTTTAATCTGGCCCTAGTTGATTTGGCTCAGTGGATAGAGCATCAGCTTTCAGACTAAAGGGTCCTGGGTTTGATTCCAGTCAAGGACACATACCTTGGTTGCAGTCTCCTCCTTAACCCCGGCCCTGGTTGGGCTCATGCAGGAGGCAACCAATTGACGTGTTTCTCTCACATCGATTCTCTCTTCCACTCTCCCTTAAAATCAAGGAAAAATATCCTCAGGTGAGGATTAACAACAACAACAAAACAAAAACAAAAAACAAAAAAAAGAAAGAAAAAGAATTTTAACCTGGAGAATATCATGGTTAAATCATTATTTTTTTAAAAGATCATTTGTTGGTGCATTAAAGATGATATTTCATTAAAGAAGACATTAGTAGGAAATAAAAATATTACCTGAATAAAGTTTATATGGTCACTGTTTTTATCTAACCATGGAATATGGTATAGTGCTTCAGTAAGAGTAAGTGATTTGACAATGGGTTCAAAATCAAGCAATTCTCTTTTTTTGTCCATTATTAACTAAAATAAAAAGATTTAAGAAAGAAGATGAACAAAACTAGTGTTCACAGAATGTTTACAACAATTATGGGTTTGCACCATTTCTTTTTTTTTCTTTTCCTTTTTTTTTTTTTTTTGCTCTTCTGAGACTTTGGTTTTCCATGGAAACTTCAAACCTCTCTCTTCTTACAGCATTTTTCTGCTATCATATTCTAAAGTCATAGATTAAGCTTTTCAAAGTAAACCTTTTTACTAAAGTGCAGCAGATAGGCCAAAAAAGCACAAACCATAAAAGTTCATTCAAAGAACATCTACAATGTGAAAACATCTGGGTAGCCAGAATCCAGATTAAGAAATAAAACATTTTCTGTATCCTAAAATCCTTCCTTATGTTATCTACTTGTCATTGCTCCTATACAAAGATAATCATTCTTCTATCACCCAAATCTAGCTTTGTCTGGGTTTCAGCTTTATTTGCATAAAATCAGAGATTGTGTACTTGTTTTTGTCTGCTTTCATTTGCTCAACATTATGTTTCTGAGATTCATCTACAATGTGCAGGGAGCAAAAATGCACTCATGTTATTTTCATTGTTGTATATGCTTATGTTGTATAATAATACCACAGCTTTGTCTACTATTGATTAATACTTTAGGTGCTCCAGTTTGGGGCTTTGTAATGCTTCTATGAGTGTTTTCTATACATATGTACATATTTCTGTTGAATATACAGTTATATCATCTAATTGTTGTGTCATAAGATATATGGTTAAATTTACTAGATTTTGCCAAATGATTTTCTAAAGTGATTACATCAAGTTACACTCCCACTCTAATGTTCCAGTTGTTCCATTATTTGCCTACACTATGTATTGTCAGTTTAAAAAAAATTAAGAATTCTGGTAGTTGTGCATTGGTCATTAATTTTAGTTTTCATTTGTGTTAAGCTTATGAAATGGTATTTGGCACCTTTTGTTATCTTTATTGGCTGTTTGAATACCTTCTGTTGTGGAATGCCTATTCAAATCTTTTGCCCATTTTTTGAAAAATGGGTTTTCTGTCTTATTCTTATTGATTTGTAAGAGATTTTTGCATATGGTGTTAGGGAGGGGTCCAATCTAGAAAGAAGTGATCCCTCACTATGGCAAGAGAGGAAGGAGAAATTGACCACCGGAGCTGCGGGAAGAAAATGCTCTGTGGTGTGTGCTTTGTTCTAGAGAGCTATTTTCAGTTAGACATTCATATGTCAGGGATGTCCTATATTGGAAAGAGCCAAAAGCAGGTTTGAAGATCATAAATGACTATATAGCAAATAAGTATAATTGCTTGAAGATATTCTAGCTTACCTTGTTAATCTCATTAGCTTCAATTTTATGAAGAATTCCTTTTAACCTGAAAACCCTAACAATTTCTCTAGCCAAACTGAGCATGACATTAATCTCCTCCTTTGTTTTCATAGTGACAGCAATTTCTGGGTGATCATACTCTAAGTAACCTGAAAAATAACAAAAACTAAATGTTTAAATATTTCATTTGGACAAGAAACTAATATTTCTGCTCTAAATACATGGAATACAACCCTTAAAACAGGAAGATGTCTCTCTTCCTAAGGAGGCCTCTGCAATCAACCACTATTCGCCAGTACTTGCAGAGCTCTGCCTGCCATTTTTTTTTGTCTTCAGCTCATTCTTGTGCTGTGAAGGAGGACAGATAGCCTCAGTCTCAGGACTAACGATTCTATTAATACAACTGGACACTTGAACGGCTCTTCTAAGCTCTAAGTCTGAAGTTCATGACTTAACTTTCTTATTCTGTTGACTACAGACTGGAGGCTAAGATATGGCTTTTGATTAAGTCTTTCCACTCACCCTGTCTGTGCATGGACATGCTGCATCCATCTACACTCTCTGCCTGTCTAGTCTGGCAGAGACTAGACAGAGATCCATGAGAATTTCATCCCCCCTAGACTGTACATTTGGGCTTTTCCTCGGTCATGACTTCTTGTGTGGCTTGACAAGTATCTGCCATGTAAGTTCTCTCAAGCATGGCCTCATTCCCAGGCTTGCTGTGTCCTTTTGCTACCCACCATCTGGTACCCAAATCCCTTCTCCTCACACAGGAATGTTATGCTATAGGAGTGTGTCTGTCTTACTCCTGGGATTTGTTCAGCAGCAGGAGTGTGACCTGGCATGATTCAGAGAATAAGCCGTTGCCACGTTTGGGCACTGAGCCACAACAGAGGTCTGTGAGGCTCTGTTCTGATTTTAATTCTTTCTAAAGCCTAAGTCCTCGTATGGCAGCTCTGTGGCAAGTGGGAGAAAAATATAACTTCTTCCTTTGATTGTTCAGGAGGGCATGCACATGTCTGGTTTGAGAAAAAACAGAATTTATAAGGTGATACTAACGTGTAATCATGCCATGCAGATGCATTTTCTTTAAACAGAAGTTAAAAGGCCTGCGTTGTGGCATAAGGCAGAGAGAACAAGTTTGGAGAGATAATATACAATTTGGTCCAGCCCAAAATGTGATCATATAGATTGTTGAGGTTATCCACTTTATTAGTAGTAGTCAGTAGTAATTTATTATCAAAGATCAAGTTGCTTATCAAAACCATTGCCTCTCTGCAGTAGTGATGATAAGAGATGATCATGAATCCTTAGGTGAGAGGTACCTACCTAGCTCTTTCAGGGCATGCACTGTGTTCCTCGTTATTCTCTTTAATAACACCTACGAAACAAACGAAACGTCCCCATTGGAAAACAAACTATAATAACATGTCTTAATATTTGCAACTGATAGATTTTTAACCTAAATTAATAACTAGAGGAAAATATGAAAAGCTTTTCAGGGATTGGACTTGAATTTTGTGCACTGGACTCTGTTTTGTTCCAGCAAGCGTGATGGAGAGGATAGGAAGTGGCATCATCAAGGTTGGTTTTGAGAAGCCTGAAGGTGAGTCATATATTTTTCTTTAAAGCAACTTGTTTTAGGATCCTACTGATCCAGAAAAGTGTGGGCATGGTGATACTTTCCATTCAACTTTATGACAGCCTGCAAATGTGGGCCATAGAGGCGGCTTTCAACCTTAAGTGAGTTAGAAAGTTTGGCCAAGATGTGTGAGAGCAAAAATGAGGCTTAAAAGTGGACAGCACCCTAGAGAGGCAAGTCCTTTTCTATTTTCTATTGTCTATTATCAAATCGCAGTGCTAAATATGAGTGGTTAGGAAACGAAACAAAATTGAGGGAAATAGTTTTAAAGTGGTAGGTGTTGAAGGGAGGAAAGACACTGCTTTTTGTGTTCTACTAACAGTATTTAATATTTAATTTTCTCAAGTACAAAGTTTTGGCATATAACACATAGCATTCAAATGTTCTAAATTGCCTCAAGAAGTAAATATTTAATTTCTGATGTAGCTGATAAACTTCGGTGCCCTTGTCAGTGTGAATCTGCCTCAATTGAGAAAATAAAATATAAAAGCTAAAATTTAGGCCCTAGAATTCTCTTTGCTGCTTATGTGTTTGGGGGGCATAAACTCTCTTGGCTTCATTTTTCTCCTCTGCATAAGGAGGGAACTAGACAAGGTTTCCCTTTAGATGAGTTATTGTTACTTCTTTCCATTTGCCAGATCCCCATCCTTTAATTCTTTTACTATTTACTGTGGGAAAATAGGGGATAGAGAGAAACAGAAGGAACCTTTGTGAATGACGAAGAAGCTTTATTTGCCCCACACTGCCACCACTTCCCATCCTCCAGTGTTTCCTATTTAATGAATCTGTAGCCTGATCTATCCTGGAACTTGCATTGGGAGGAAATGGACCACTGCGCATGGGGGTCATGATTGCATCTGCAAGGACTGCAAGGTATGTTCCAAGAGCTTTGTAACTTGATAATATGGCACAGACATTTTAGTAAGATTGCTTTTCAGTAATAAAATGTACTAAGTTTTTACAAAAATTACCTAGCAAACCAGGGATCTAAGAACACATTTACATATATAGATAGAGAACATGATGGGTGAGGACAACTGAACGGTAGGGAAAATAAACCCTTCTCTTAGTCTTTAGTTTTTCTCACCTGTTTAACCTTCTTAGAACTTGCAATCTGATCAATTATAGTCATTATGTCTGCTTCACCTTGGACATATCCTTTTAGGATAGCATATTTATAGGACAGCTGATGACTCATCCTCTTATCTATAAATTGCAGCAACTTTGGTGTTATGAGCTGAAAAAGGAGGACTACTATTTAATATACATTGTAAAAATTTTAGTTGATTATACATTGATTTGTTTAACTAAAATAGATCATATTAAGAAATGACATGTTCTTAACAGTAATGATAGTAACTTGTCAAGGCTCTTATTATTGTATTCATGATACCTTTATAACTTCATGGGTAGAGCTATTTTCCTGTAACTAATAATGTTGGCCACCTGTGTAAAATGATGGCTTTATTTTTTCCTTATTTTCCTTATAGAGAATTGTATGCTATTTTCAACTGGTTTAAGTTCTTGGAAAACAATGCAATCAATCTTTTCTGGGCTTAGTAGAAAATGACTGTCTATAAAAATACTGCCACTTTTACCTGCTAAATCTTCTGCTAAACCAGTGGTTCTCAACCTTGGCTGCACATTAGAATCACCTGGGAAAATTTTTAAAATCCTGATTTCTGGGCCTCATCCTCCTGAAATTCTGTTTCTTTGTTACCAATGTTGTGGCCCCACCCCATACCAAAGAAACAGAATTTCTGGGGGAAGAGGCCCAGAAATCAGGATTTTAAAAAGATTCCCAGGTGATTCTAATGTGCAGCCAAGGTTGAGAACCACTGTGCTAAACTTTTTGTTAGTTGGTCCATTTGGGTTAGAACATACCACAACTACAATGAGTGGCCAGATTATTATGACATTTGTAGGCAAATTAGCCGTACACTGCATCGTATGGGATATAGAAGCCAAAGGCCTGTTTGAACACCTTTGCTGTCTGCAGTTACCAAGATAAAACCTCTCCAATTCGCACAGGAACACAAGGATTGGACAGTTGAGCATTGGCAAAAAGTCATGTGGTCCGATGAAACACGTTTCCAGTTGCATCATGCAGATGGCAGAGTGAGAATTTGGCAGAAACAGCGTGAAAGCATGCACCCCACATGCATGAGTACAACCCTTCAAGCTGGTGGGGGCAGTGTTATGGTTTGGGGCATGTTTTCCTGGCATGATTTTGGCCCTTTAATTCATGTGGAACAACGTCTGAATAGCACAACATACCTAAGTATCGTTGCTGATCAGTTTCATCCTATCATGTTGATGGCGTATCCCAATGGAGATGGCTTCTTCCAACAAGACAATGTGCCATGCCACGGTGCTGGTATTGTGCGGGAGTGGTTTCTAGAACATGAGGGAGACTTTACCTTGCTTATGTGGCCTCCACAATCACCAGATCTCAATCCAAAAGAGCCATCAGGCAGTTGGTTCTACAACCATCAAATCTCACAGAACTGCAACAGTGCTATTCATCAGGCATGGTGTCAGAGTCCTCTCATCACCTTTCAACATCTCGTGGAGTCAATGCCAAGAAGAATTGCCACAGCATTGAAGGCAAAAGGTGGCCCAAGGAAGTACTGATGGGGTGGTCATAATAATCTGGCCACTCACGTTCAAATATATCCCATGTTCAAAGGCTGTTAAATTGTGTTGTTTACCCATATTTTCAGAAAAAAATCATTTCTACTGTCGTCGTAAACAAACTGCTTCCCTATTTATAATGGTCTGGCCCTCTAGCAACTTCAGCGCGAAATTATAGCTAATTTGCCTACAAACGTCAGGTGGTCATAATAATCTGGCCACTCAGTGTATACTCGCTCTTGGACCCCACAATTAACTTCTCACTGTCTTGTTGCTGAGGGTGTAAATCTCCAGGTTATCTGTCACCATTGTGCAGTCCTCTAACTTCAATAGAGCTGGCTGCTCCCTGTTTTCCTGGCTGTGCTCCATTATCTTCATACTCTGCCTTCCAGTCACCTGCCATTAATCCTCAAGGAGCTCATATGCATGCATCCTTCAAGATTCAGTTCAAGTGTCAACTAGTAAAGAAGGTCTTTTATGTCTCACTAGTATTCTGTGCATACCACTGTTTTGTACTTACCCAACTCTTCTTCAATAAGCTGTCTGGGGGCAGAGACTATATCTAATTTGTCTTCATATTTCAAGGGCCCACTATTTTACATAAGATAAAGGTTAATAATTTTCTGGATATATAAAAAAGCTTTTCTTATGTGGCTTATCAATTTCTTCACTTAAAGTATTTGGTTAACTTTGTATATCTTCTATCAAAAAGAATTAATTAGTCACTGGAATGCACAAGCCTTGCCTTCCTCATGTCAAAATGCAAATTAGTGTAACTTATGGTCTCATATAATACTAAAAAGGAAAAGGCTACTAGTTGCATACTTTTATACCTGGATGGCTTATGCCTTTCAATAGCAAAAGTATTTTTAAACGTGTATGAAAGCTTTAAATATAAAGATTCTAATCTGTTAGCTTTATATCTAGATGAAATATATCTTATTTAGCTTTGTATCTCCCACAGTGCTTATATGTGTACATGTCTTGTTTGTGTATGAATAGAGAAAAAGGCAGAAAAGAGAGAGAGAGAAGAGAATATCTGTGTATATATATTTATTTATATATCTATGTATATAAAAATGTATATATTTCTAGCACTTTGTGATAGAGGGAGTGTTATATAAGTGAAATAATCATACAGAAAATAACTACCCATCATACTTGTTACAGAGAGATATATTTAACAATCAAAAGTAATTTTTGATGCTGTGATTCTATAATACTATACATTTATATAACACAAAATGTATATTTTTTGGTTTCTTGATTTTTATTTGTTTTGTCACCATAAATGATTTGCATGGTTATATTTTGTTGTTGTTGTCATAAAATATGGGAATCTTTTATTCCAGCCATCTATAATAATAAACATTACTTGGGGGTTAATTTGTACTTATATTAATACTAGTGACCCAGTGCACGGATTTGTGCGCATTGAAAGGAAATAAGTAGAAGGTGGCCAGTGGGGCAGGACTGGGCAAGACGGGCTGGACAGGCTCTGGAGTCAACCTCCTACAGTCCCTTCCTGGCTGGCCACACCTGGTGCGGCACCACAGCTCAAAGGTCGTCTGTGGAGTGAGTGGGGTCCCTCTGGCAGGTGGGATCCCTTGGCCTGGCCTGCGGGGATCGGGCTGAAACCAGCTCTCCAACATCCCCTGAGGGGGTCCCGGATTGTGAGAGGGTGGTTCTTGGGTGATGCACCCCAGAATCAGGCTCCCTCCTCTTTGGTTCTGGGTGCAGCACTCTAGAACCTCCACTGCCAAGTTTCTGTAGCTTGGCAGCTCCTGCATTGAGCATCTGCCCCCTGGTGGTCAGTGCACATCATAGCTACCTGTTGGACAGTTGAACAGTTGGATGGTCACTTAGGCTTTTATATATAGAGATGGAATTTTTCATGTACTCTCTATTCAAAGAAAAAGCTATGTTGAGTATTTCTATACTTCCATGTACTAATGAATTTCTAGTATAATTTGAATATTTATGTTATAAAACTTAATTTGTCAAAGGAATCTAAAATTTGAAACATAGCCATCAGCCCAACAGAAGTGGAAGCCATACAACTCATCAACTTGTTTTAGTTTACATTATATAAGACCTATGAGAAGAAATTTGAAATTGCATAATTTAACAGTTCTTTACCTTCAAAATGCGTAGTATGCGAAGAAGTCGAGTAGCTTTAAAAAACACCACTATTTCATCCAAATCAAAAATGTCATAAATGGTCTCTGCCTCAACAATTATTACATCTATGATGCCAACTAATGCAATTACTAATTCAAATAGGTTCCAGGCATGCAAAAAATATTCTTTCCTCATTGCTGCTATCTGTTGATTTTAAAAGGAATTATATTATTTGTTTATGATTTCACTATATCATTTTTCTACAATAGCTGAAACATCACTAGTTATGTTTTTCTCTGATCTACCTTAAGACTCTACTTTTCTAAAATACTAATACACTAGCATATTTTAAAATAACAATTTGAAATTAAATGTTTCAAATGTCAAAGTCTATTCCAAAGGAGTAAATATTCAAAATAACTACTATTTTATGATAGCTTATCAATTCATTTCTTCTTTATTAAAAAAAAACCCTTTTATTGAAAATTACTATATCTAAGAGACTGGGAGGTGTCAAAAATATTGTGTATTTCAGCCGGGGAAATTGGGTCTCCTGTGGAATTTTAAAGAAAGAGTAAGTTTGCAGAAAATATATCTGTTTTGAATATGCTGTTTGCAATGTCTGCACAGTATTTTGCTGGAGAGATCCAGTCAGCTATTGTCTGTATCATATGAGGCTCTAGATAAACCTGAGATGAAGGCATAAATATAGGAGTCATTAGACTATGGATGGTAGTAAATGCCAGGGAAGTGAAGAGATAGCATGGCCTATGAGGCCCTTTACTGTTAATGCATGGCTGTATCTCCTGTCTCAATTTCTATACCCGCGACACAAAGTTAGCATCTCTCCAATGTCCACCTTGACCATCCCACCCCTAAGCTCCAGTCATTGGGAATGATGCCTCTTGTTGTGTCACGATGTTGCCTCTAAGCTTTACCTTGTTCTTGTCCATTATGCTGTGTTCTCATGGCACTCGTTTCCTACTTTGGCTCTTACTCATTATTCAAACTACAACTCAAGTATCTACTACCCTTGAAGGTCTTTCTTTTCTGACCCTTTTATTCTGAATAAGAAAATCCTGTTGTTTTCCCCCGATAGCCCCTGTGTAGTCCTTTATTATAATACTTAAGATACTGATTTGTAATTTGGATGAATTTGTTTTCTTTTAGCAGCCTTATGCCCCTACTCACCATGATTCAAAGGAAGTGTAGGAGGCAGACATAATCATCTCAGGGAAAGCATATGCTTTATTACCAATTAAGAAATTGCTATGCTATTTACAAACAGATTCCTGTGTGTTTGGTGGTAGAGTCATTTCCCTTGATTCTGCTCACTTTCGGCCAGGCTGAAGAAATTCAGTGTCTGAATCTATCAAGCAGAAGACCAGATTCTGGTCTTATGAGGTCCTGCCCACATCACCATGTAGCCTCCATAGATGTCTCATTTCCTTCTTATTGAGACAGGTATAAGTTGGATCATTCTCTCAGGAACTTGAAAAAATTAGTATAAAGACTGTATCCAAATTCCAAGTATTCCGAAATGTGAAAAAGTTATCTCCAGGTCACTGGAACACAGCCACAGGAGAGGAAGAGCCTGGTGTGGAAGGTAGGTACGGACTTCAAAGGAATAGGGGTTTGCTGAATGTAAGTTTGTCAAAGAATGTTTAGAAGTTCAGGTGATGTTCGCAGATGAAGAAAAGAGATTACTACCCTTCCTTTAAGAAAGATTCTAGAGGTCATTCCTCTAATAGGTTGAAGAGTGTTTGGGAAAATGTTGAAAATATAGGAAGGAAAAATTTTAAGGCAGCATTGTTTATTAAAAAGAACAATACCTATGAAGGGTTGGATCCCAATTCTACTATTAATTAGCTATATGATTCCAGATTAGTAACACAAGTTATCAGACACTCAGGCCCCTCATCTGTAAAATTCACATGGTATATATACGAGTACAGGGTGTCCCCCAAAATGTAAACACACTTTAACAGCTGATAGCTCAATTGATGTTTCTTTCTTTTCAGATTTAACCCGTTGGAATTAATAATTATTCAGTGTTTATACATTTTTTGGGACTGTGTGTGTGTGTGTGTGTGTGTGTGTGGGTGCGCGCGCACGCACGCACGCATGCGTGTGTTAAAATGTTAATTTAAGGATTTGAAATGTTATAATAAAAAATGACTGGTACTTTATAGGTGATCATTTATTATTATTGTTAATAGAATAATGGATATTTTAAAAAGGCATAGTATAAAGGAGGATAACTGAATTAAACAGAAAAGGGGGTAGAGGAAATGTTAGATGAAGGCAAGTTTGAAAACTGGGCAGTGAGGACACATTTTGCGTGAAGTAGATGGGAGACAAGAACAGGGTTGCACAGTGTTGGGAGTATCATCTCAGCTATGATGGCTGACCATATCTCTATAGTCCAGTGCTGCTGTCGTAAGTGCAGCGGTTCTCAACCTGTGGGTAGCGACCCCTTTGGCGGTCAAATGACCCTTTCACAGGGGTTGCCTAAGACCATCCTGCATATCAGATGTTTACATTACGATTCATAACAGTAGCAACATTACAGTTATGAAGTAGCAATGAAAATAATCATGGTTGGGTCACAACATGAGGAACTGTATTTAAAGGGCCAGAAGGTTGAGAACCACTGCATAAGTGGACCTGATTGGATGAAGCTATGGCTATTCATGGCTCTGACAGCAGATTCAATGTGGCAGAGTACAAAGAATAACAGAGCTAGAGGAATCTTCATCGATTATTTAGGCCAACCCTGACTTTTAAAGAAAAAAAAATTGAAATTGGGAGAAATTCAGTGACCTTGTGAACAGTTTGTCATAGAAAACCCAAATCAGAGCCATTTTACTAAATTCCAGCTCTGGGCTCTTTCCACTATAGTACATGTTACAGTAAAAGATATTACATATTTTATGAAACTCTTCATTCTCACCCTCACCCTGTAACTAACCCTAACATTAACTGCTTTATTTTTTAAAAAATATATGAAATGTCCTACCGTCATTCCAACTAGCTTGGAATTTATCACATGTAATGTGATGGGTTGTGAGTCTATCCCCTCTCCAACAGTGTCACTCTGCAGTAGCATTTTAATTTCTCATTAAAAATTTGAGACTCATTAATTTTGTCCAAAATAAGTATCAGATATACTTATTTTATTTAAACTTTCTAGCTAAAATATATTACAACTTGTTGATCCATATGGCACAATATTGTGATCAATTTGTGGGTGTATATTTCCATTATTTGACAACTATCTTTACATTGGATTTAAAAATCAAATTATGATATCATTTTGTATAAATGAGTATCTATCCATCTATTTATCCATTTATTTATCTAGTTAGTGTAAAAATAGTAAAACCAACATCCATGTGTTTACTACCTTGCTAAGTTTAAGAACATTTCTAATACCTGTGAAACTCATTCTGGGTCCCTTTGACACACACTAATCCTTAAATATGGATATGTTATATTGAGTCACCCTAAAATTATCTTTAAGAACTAAAGTTTATTTGTTTGAGAAGTGGAAGAGAATTTTATACACTCTTAGAAAACTGTAGCTAGTGTTGAAAAATGAAGTTAGGAAATCTCCCTCTTGAATATTACACACACACACACACACACACACACACACACACACACGCGCACACACACACACACACACACACACACACTTTGATTACCTTAACTAGGCACTCCAGGATGTAAAATCCCATAAATACGTAGTTAGATTGTCTTAATTCATCCTCATAGATATCATCTATTGTGGGTATCCAAGAAATTATAATAGGGAACGTATTCATTAATATCACAAGGTATCCGACATATTCAAATTCATCAGTAAATACTATTTTATGGAATACATTAAGAAAGCAATATCTGTAAAAAAAAAAAAAAAAAAGGAGGAAGTTTTATCTGATAAAAGAATAGCATGGAATTATTTTCATTATATGTCCAGCTCTATTCTAATCATCAATAACTATGGCGTCCAGCTTAGTTCTGGGAGGTGGCCATCAGGAGCTAACACCTTCTGGCATCCTACTTCCGATAGTGTCCTTTTAATTTCCTCTTCTGGAAATGACTGATGCTGGTTTTCCCTCCTTTTTTCTCACCTTCCTCACCTCTCACTCATTTTTACTGTACTTTTTAAAAATCCTCATCTGATTTTATATTGTTTTTTTAGGTTATTTTTAGAGAGAGAAGGAAGAGAAAGAGAAATATCGATGTGGGAGAGAAATATTGATAGGTTGCTTCCCAAATAGGCCCTGACCAGGACCTAACCCGAAACCTAGGTATGTGCCTCAACTGGAATCTAACTGCATTTTTTTTTTTTTTTTTTTGCGAATGGAATTACGCTCCAACCAACTGAGCCACCCCTCCAGGCTTCACTGTACTTTTAATAGAAATACTTTTGTTTATAAGACAGGGACAATTTTTTAAAAATATATTTTATTGATTTTTTTTACAGAGAGGAAATGAGGGGGATAGAGAATTAGAAACATTGATGAGAGAGAAACATAGATCAGCTGCCTCCTTCACACCTCCCACTGGGGATGTGCCCGCAACCAAGGTACATGCACCTGACTGGAATTGAACCTGAGACCTTCCAGTCTGCAGGCTGACACTCTATCCATTGAGCAAAACTGGTTAGAGCAAGTCAGGGACAATTTAAACTGGAAATATTTTTTTAAAAAAAAACAAAGGAAATCCTTTCCACCTCCCAATAATTCCACTTCTCAGAAATAACTACTATTAACAATTTAAATATTGTTCTGATCCTTTTGTTTATATAATCACTGTCTATAAACACAAAAGGAATATCACACATACTGTCCTGTAACCTGATTTTTTTCTCTCTTAATAATAAATTATGAGCATCTTTCTTTGTCAAAGCATAAACTCAAGACCAAATCCCAGGATGTGTGTGGTGGAACAGTTTGGGTCCACATTTTAATAAAAAAAAAAAATTTAAAGTTATGTGTATGCTGTGGAAAATATTTTCCATACTAAGTATGCTAGAAGGTGGAATTGGGGATGAGGATTTACTTTATGTATTTTTAATTTTATTTTTTAATTATTCAAATAGTATAATAATGCATTTTTATTGTTAAAACTCTTATTGATTAATTAATTACTGATTGAAAAGTGGTTAAAGTACTGGATCACTTCCCCATTTGCAGAGGTCAATCTGTGTTACACAGGACTTGAAACTTTTACAATTTGAGGTTCTATTTAAGAAAAGAACATAAAACATGAACACAAATATAATCCTGGCATTAAATTGGTAGGGCCCTCCAGGCCTTCAGGCAGTGATTCTGATTTAATTTTTTTTTTAATTTCTTCCAGCAATAAAATAATATCTGGTAAAGTATTGCACTTGAGGGTACCTTTTGCCTGTTTATAATGACTTGTTTATGCCACAAAGATGAATTGAAAAAATGTGATGCTAATTCATAGTACCTTTAAATCTTTCATGTTCATGTTAACTTCTTAATACTGAAATGCTATATTGCTTATATTGCTTCTTATTACTATTTTGGCCATGGGTTCCACTTGATTACCTGGTCCTTCCTGCCATAATGAGCCTTGATCGGTGTGTCAGTTAGATAATATGAGTGTTGGGCTAGATACTAAGTCTGTTTGTCTCAATTATACACTCAAAGTCTTGGGGAAATAACCACATAGTGGACCTGCTGGACTTCTGTGAGACAGACTCAGCCAGAAACTTCATTAGCCTAAAAGCTCCCAGTTTAACTTGAGGACTATGATAGGATTTTAAGCTTTTTGTATCAGTATTATTTTAAACTAGAGGCCCGGTACACAAAAATTTGTGCACTCGGTGTGTGTGTGTGGGGGTCCCTCAGCCCAGCCTGTGCCCTCTTGCAGTCTGGGACCCCTCAGGGGATGACCACTTGCCAGCAGGGAGCAGACCTAAGCTGCAGTCGGACATCCTTAGCATTGCTGAGAAGGCAGGAGAGGCTCCCGCCACCACCGCTGTACTGGCAGCCATCAGCCTGGCTTGTGGCTGAGCAGAGCTCCTCCATGTGGGAGCTCACTGACCACCAGAGGGCAGCTCCTGCATTGAGCATCTGCCCCCTGGTGGTCAGTGTGTGTCATAGTGACCAGTCATTCCCAGTCTTTCTGCTGTTAGGGTCAGTTTGCATATTACCCTTTTACTATATAGGATAGAGGCCTGGTGCACGGGCGGGGGCCAGCTGGTTTGCCCTGAACGGTGTCCCGGATCAGGGTGGGGGTCCCGCTGGGGTGCCTGGCCAGCCTGGGTGAGGGGCTGAGGGCCGTTTTCAGGCTGGCGGGTGACTGAAGCTCCCAGCCTCTCTCTTTTTCTTTTTCTTTTTATTCTGGGATTTATTTACCTTCTATAGCTCTCACTGGAGCTGAGAGCTGGCTCCAGTTCTGAGGCCCAGCTCCAGCTCTGAGGCCGTGGCTGCTGAAAGCAGGTATCTGGAGTTTGTTTGGCTTCTATAATTGAAACATTGTTGCTTTCCTGCTCACTCAAGCTCTGAGGCCGCGGCTGGCTGAAAGCAGGTATCTGGGGTTTGTTTAGCTTCTATAATTGAAACATTGTTGCTTTTGGAGCTGTTGCTTCAGGAGCTCAGAGCCAGACTGCAGCAGGCGGGGAACCTTGGCTTCCTCCATCACTGGAGCAAGCAAGCCTCATGTTCGCTTCAGTTGCATGGCTGCCAGCCGCCATCTTGGTTGGCAGTTAATTTGCATATCTCCCTGATTAGCCAATGGGAAGCATAGCAGAGGTATGGTTAATTACCCTATTTGTCTATTATTAGATAAGATGCCATATCCTCAAAGTACAAAAGTCCAGGTATTTTCCTTTTCCCAATGCATAGTAACTCTGGTAAAGTGCCTAAAGGTCCATTTGGAAAAAACGTATATTGAGAGAATATTTCTTCTGTATACTTGTGGTATTGTTGCCATCCTTTCTCAAGAGCTCTGGATCTGAGAACTGACTTATGTCTGGAAGAAAGGTGAGGGATTATGATTTTCCGTTGCAGTATGTGATCTCATCCCTTTGCCCACCAGCTCTCTATCTTTTGAAATCAAGTAATAGTGAGTTAACTGTCAATATTTCCCTTTGACTTACGTTATTTGTTAGCCATTCTCTGATTTGCTGCTCACAAAATAAAGTATGCTCATCCTTTCTCTGACATTTAAGTGCTGACATTTGTCTTCTGCCATTCATTCTGCCAAGGAATGGCAGGAGACAAAGAATTGAAGCACCAATTCTATTGTTTCAACTATTGTTAACCATGTCCTGTAGAAGACATCTATCATTGAGTTTATCACTGTTGCCTTGGTGAAGGGAAATGTTCTGCAGGTCTTCCCAGAGGTCATGTGGTTGGTTCTTCATTCCCATATAATTAATAAAGTTAAATATTATAATTTTTTATCATCTGCACCTCATTTACTGTAGGTTTTTGGCCTCGTCAAACTTCAAAACCCATTTCAGGCATGTAATAATACCAATTCCAAGTCTTGTTGACCACATGTTGAACCTTGGCTCATCATGGATAAGACCATCATGCCAAGAAATTCTTCATAATCTGGCCTCTTGTTGCAATCTTCTCAAGATCCACTCTCTTGTATGTTCTACTAGTGTTCTCTGATATTGATTAGGTCTTGTAAGTCCCTCAGTTGATAAGTTGTAGAATCCTCTAGCTGTGTTAAGATCTGACCTCGGTAATTACCTTGGAAGTAATAAAAGGTGGTAGAGACTAACCCTGAAACAATGACAAGCTTTATCTTGTGATGTGTCTGCAACCTGTGAAGGTGCTGGGAGGCTATCATCCTCCAGCAAGGCAGAGGCAGCTGCTTCTGTCAGGCCAGAGTGTTCATGAGGATATGGGGGTTTAGCCTCTTCAAATTTGTCCGCCCAAGTGTTAGCACTTCAAATCTCAGGGTCCTGACATTTTTCTATTTATTCTTATTTGCTCAACTCTAGTTGTATCTCTCCAAATTAGATATATCATGTTGATTTTGTATTCAATTCTGAATAATTCAAGTTGAATTTTTAATTTTAAGAATTATAGGTATTTTTCCATTTTTCTGTTCAGTTTCTTTTGGTGATTGACTTGTTCATGTTTGTGAGTCCATCACTTATTAATTTTAACATTTCAGTTATGAATTCATAGGGATATAAGTCTGCTGGTTCTTTTCCATGGCTATTTGTTTCCTTTCATGTTTTTTGCTCTTTTTTAAATGCCATATCCCCATATTTATGACTTTATCCATTAGCTAAAGAACTCAATTTTCAATGGAATGTTACTCAGCACTTAGTAATAAACATTAATATTTGTTAAATGACTACCCAGTGCTAATCCCTGGACTTCTACACACTCTATATAATCTTTACAATGATCCCATCAAGCAGAGGAGAACCCAACTATTATATTTTAGCATCTACTATTTGCCAGATGCTTTACATAAATCAGTTAGCTTCTAGAATATAACAAAAATATTATTATACCTATTTTTCAAATAAGGAAACTGAGACCTGAAAAACTCATTTAGCTAATAAATGATGGAGAAGGGGATTCTAAATATAGCATGTAACTCCAGAATCTGTATTACCTACTGAGATGAATGGCATTTTGGAGATAGTTTAACAGATAAATTGACTATCAATTACAGTTTTCAAATTTCTCTTTCTTTGTTACAGCAACAAAAATAATTACTCAGAAGGTTGTAGCTTCATTTAGTATTAAAGGCTTTAAAATAACTATAGCACAGATATGTCCTTTTGTTGTTTATTGAGTGTGGTGGATTAGACACTCAATCTTTGATACTCCTATTGAGTTGAAGAAAAGACATAAGAGCCATCCAAGTTGGAAAGGAAGAAGTAAAATTACCTCTATTCATAGATGACAGGATCTTATATGCAGAAAATCCTAGAGAATTCCCCCAAACTGAGAGCTAATAAGTGAATTCAGCAAAGCTTCAGGATATAGAATCAATAAATAAAAATCAGCTGACCTGCCCTAACCGGTTTGGCTCAGTGGATAGAGCATCAGCCTGCGGACTCAAGGGTGCCAGGTTCAATTCAGGTCAAGGGCATGTACCTTGGTTGCGGGCACATCCCCAGTGGGGAGTGTGCAGGAGGCAGCTGATCGATGTTTCTCTCTCATCGATGTTTCTAACTCTCTATTCCTCTCCCTTCCTCTCTGTAAAAAATCAATAAAATATGCTAAAAAAAATCAGCTGACCAGTGTGGTTCACTGTTTGAGCATTGACTCATGAACCAGGAAGTCACAGGACAAATGCTGGATTTTGGGATCCATCCCAGTGTGTGTGTGCAGGAGGCAGCCGATCAATGATTCTCTCTGATCACTGATGTTTCTACCTCGTTAATATTCTCCCTTCCTCTCTGAAATCAATTAAAAAAACATATTAAAGGAAACCTTTAAAAATATATATTAAAAATCAGTTGTATTTCTATATACTAGGAATAAATAATCCAAAAATAAAATTAAGAAAAAATTAATGTATGAAGGCATTAAAAAAGGAAAAAAATACTTAAGATTAAATTTAACTGAAGAAAGGGTGAAAAAATAAATTTGATGAAAACTTGTACAATGAAAATGGTAAGACATATCTGAGAGAAATTAGAAATCTTAGTAAATGAAAAGTCATTCCATATTCACAAATTGGAAAGCTTAATGTTGTTAAGATGGCAATTCTACCCAAAGCTGTCAACATATTCTTTGCAATTCCTATGAATATCTTAATGGAATTTGTCCCCCAGATATAAACAATCTAATTAAAAATATTTGTATATATCCCTGGCCGGTGTGGATATATACAAATATTTTATATTTGTTGATGGGAGCATCGTCCCATACACCAAAAGGTTGAGGGTTCGATTCCTTATCAGGGCACATGCCCAGGTTTCAGGGAGATTGGAGCACATATGGGAAGCAACAAATTGATGTTTTTTTTCTCTCTCCCTCTCCCTCTTAACCTTCTCCCCTCTGTCTAAAAATTAGTGAAAATATCCTCAGGTGAGGATTTTAAAAATTCATATACAATGCAAGTAACCCCAAATAGCTGCACCAATCTTGAAAAAGAAAAGTTGATGGACTCATACTTCCTGATTTCAAAATTGTCTACAAGCTGTGAAAAACAATTTTTTATGTTAAAGAAATTAAACATAAAATTATCATTATCATTCATAAATTTCACTTACCTTGATGGGATCCCTTTTTCCTTTTTAGTATTATATACCCAATTGAGCAATACTTTTCTAACAAAGGTAAGAATTGTTTTGCTTTCAGAATAATTCTTTATTGTTTCAAGACTCATATACCTAAAAAAAGAGAAATCTTTAAATATGCTTTTAAATTTTGGGATAAGTTGAATGCAGTATTGGCAGAAAGCAAAAATACTATTTTGCCCAGTGATGACTGGAAATGAGACATTTTCATGGGCATAGTTTCAAGTCTCAAAGTTATAGATACAATAGACATACAATTATGAATTTTACTATGTGGGGCTCACTTATTAAACAGAGAGTATAAAAATCTGGAGATACATGGTTTAAAATGGTAGAGAGGTCAAGGTTCAGGAATAGAAAGCATACCTTAGTTCAAATATTTGGGATTCAACTATATATGGGTTTTCATGTTGTGAACCCCATTATCTGGTTTGGCAATGAACAAATTACCTCATTAACCTGTTTGCTTTGTAAAATGGAGGTAAAAATACCTATGTTAGCCTGGGATAATTAAATGAGAAAGTATTATGAAACATCCAGCTGATCTTACATATCTTCTCATCTCCTTTCTTTCACCTTTTGGGCAAGTAGCCAAGGAATTTATGGGGAAAATACAAGTGGTAGATTAAGAGTTGAAATGGTTTCTTGGAGAATTCAGTGGTAATAAAACCCCAAAAGATACTTTGGTGGCACTTGTCTGTAGTTTTCTTCTGACTTTTCTATTGAGACAGCTTAGATCTGTGTGTTATGATTTGGTCTTGTTTGGTTTTATGAGGAACTTACCTGTTGCTGTCCAGATACTTTCATTGTCTTCCATAGAAGGAGGATAGAGTTTTGTCCTTGGGTCTGAGATCCTACATTAAAAAATGGCTTAATGGAAGGTCATTGGTGACTTAAGTTCAAAGGCGGACCTTGTCCTCCCTATCTATATATATAAAAGCCTAAGCGATCGGTCAACGACTTGACCAGCCAGCCAGTCGGCTGGTAGCTATGATGCGCACTGACTACTAGGGGGAAGATGCTCAATGTAGGAGCTGCCCCCTGGTGGTCAGTGCACTCCAACAGCGGAGCACTGTTCAGCCAGAAGCTGGGCTCATGGCTGGTGAGCGTAGCTGCGTTGGCCTGAGCCTCTCCTGCCTCCGTGGCAGTGCTACCAGGCAGCAGTAGCAGGTGCAGTGGGGCCAGAATGAGCAGGAATGGCATGGCGCCCGGCCCCTGCTCAGGCTCCTCCCTGGCCGTCTGCCGATTTGCGCACTACTACATCCTTCGGGGGATGTCAGCCTGGCCTGTGGGGATCGGGCCGAAACCAGCAGTTCAACATCCCCTGAGGGGTCCCGGATTGCAAGAGGATGCAGGCCAGCCTGAGGGACCCCACAAGTGCATGAATCCATGCACCAGGCCTCTAGTTGATTATAATGTTCACACTCTGAAAATTGGGCAATTTATCTTCTATAAGAAAACTGATGTAATTGAGAAAAAATAAAATCACTCAATTCTTTATGATTCAATATAATAACATGGGAATTACATTTAAAAAATCACTAATGTGTATATGACTTGATTCATTCCTAATTTTTAAATTATTTATTGGACACCTATTATGGTTGCTAAATGCTGGGGATAAACCATAAGCCACACACAAATACTGGTTCCTGTCCTCAAGGATTTAGCAGAGTAGTGAAGTAAAACATGCAAAAACAATTGCAGTAAAGTGTAGTAAATGTTGATATGGAGATAATCTATAAGAGGACAAGCCAGACCCACAAAGGGGGCACATTTATTTTCTTTTGTGGGGAGGCACATTGAATAGAGTCATGGGGAATCAGGAAACCTTCCTGAAGGAGTTAATATCTAAGGTATGATAATTTTAAAAGTTCTAATGAATCCTAAAATTCTGTAATATCAGTAAGTACATGACATTTTACAGCCCAAATTAAGTAATTCAGGCTCCTGCAGTCCTATTTTTATATCAACTGTTCACTGTTTGACCCATATTAGGAAAAGAGTATGATCTTTTTAACTGGATAGTAAGACAACTTAGCTTCAAATCTAAGCTCTGTAATTTCTTAGACAAATAACATTGAGTAATTTATTTAATCTCACTGGGGCTCACTTTCCTCATCTGCAAAATGAAGATAATAACAATGGCATTCACCTCATAGGATTTTAGACATAAAATTGGTAATACATGTTAAATATTTAAGACTGTATCTGAAACAAAACTTAATAAAAGCTCTTTATTCAATATATTATTTCTTAGGTAATTACACAGGCACTTAGCACAGGTCTTGGTACTCCTTTTTAAACCTGATACTCTTTCCTTAAATTTTTTTTTCTTGCCACAAGACACCCGAATACATGGGGTTACTGGTAAGAATCATCAGCAAATGGCAAAATCAACTCCAAGACAGCCCAGCAAATGAGCAAGTACTCATTACAAGTGTAATTAATAGAAAGTCCCTGGAGATTGGAACACCATTTCACTAATCTTGATATATCCCGCAGTGCCTGGCATATAATTCTGTGTATATTAGTATTCAATATTTACTAGTATCTCTTACACGTGTGAATAAAAATGTAATATATTCCAAAATTTGCCTTCATTGTCTACTATGAATTTTTTCACCTCTTTAACCCCCTTCTCCCACTGTTGACATCTTCTCTGTGTCCATTTATTCATAGACTTATGCTGCTTCTACCTTCTTGGAGGATTTTAAAGAGGGAAAATCAAGGCAGTGGGCTGAACTGCTCTGTATTATTGTTTGTTTTGTTTTGTTTTGTTTTGTTTTAATTAACCTTTCATAGACAATGAAGTGATAATGCTTTCAGCATGTCATTTATTCACTCTTTGAAAAGTATACATCATATTGTTTTAAATTGACTACGTTTGCCCAGCCCTCTTCCTGAACTATCCTAACACCACTCAGGTCTCCTAAGCATTTGAAGGGCTTGGAGCAATAGGGCAAATGGAGAGCCTTGCACTATATGTGAAATATTTAAACATTATTAACCAAGAAACCAAAATTTTAAATAAGATATTTTATCTTTCTATCTTGACAAATATAATGTCATATGATTTGCATGGCTAGGCTTGAATTAAAACTCATAGACTCTGAAAATTTGTACTTGAACTCTAGCCAAGAACATGCTCCAGTGTCTGGCTGCTTCTCATCCCACACGGTCTTTCTCTCTCATGGTACCACAAACCAGTGGTACTGTGAGTGGACACCAGGCTACCACACCTCTTAGGTTTATACACTAAAGGCCCAGTTTGCTTTTAAGGTGATGGCTCATGGGAAAAGGTCCAAGAATACAACCCCATAAATAAACGTAGATTCATTTGAGCAGGGAATTTTGGTGTCCTTAGTACCAGGAGTATAGACCAAAACAAAGGTGTATCTGGGCTTTGTTGCCTTCATCCTCCCACAGGGGGTAACCTTAGGATAATCCCTAAAACCCTGACTTTGAGGAACTCACTGCTTACTGTGGAGACTTAATCTAAAGAAATCATTACAGGTGTATGCTGAAAATTCAGAGAGGATGTGTTGTGGGAAGATGTGCCTATAGGGATCAAGAAAGTCTTTGACTTAGTGAGACATTTGATTAGTGAGAGAAAAAGAGAGAGAGAGGGAGAGAGAGAGAGAGAGAGAGAGAGAGAGAGAGAGAGAGAGCAGTTTATTGAAGTTTAGCTTTTTAGGAAGCAAAGGAGAAAGGGCAGAGCATCTTAGTAAGAAGGAGTAGCTTGTTCATATGTGCAGAGGTCTGAACGAGTAGAGCAAGTCAAGAAAACCCAGTGTAGGTTGTCTGGCCTGGTTGTGGGGCATAGAGCAGACATGGGCTTCCACACATAATACTGGATGATCCCAACTTATCAGACAAAAGCAAGAAAAAAATCTTGCACAATTTCTAACATTAGGAGTATGGAAATTTTCTCCTGACAATGTACTTACTCTCCCTTCTCGCCAAAGCTTCCTGCTGCGCCCACCAGCATCTGGACCGCACTCTGGGACAGACTCTCATTCCTGTATTGTCTCTGGTAGCTTGCCTGAAAGTCGAGTCACATCATGATACAGCGTGGATAACAATGGCAACTTATGCACTTTAATGGAAAAATAATCTGTGAGAAAGAAGTAAAAATCCCCAAAGAATCTATATCTTTATAAAAAGAAGCTCTCTTACAGAGTACAGACCATAAGATAGGCCTGGATAGCTCATGAGTGTAAAAGTTAGATCTGAGCAGTGGGTAGAACCCAACTGGTTCTGTAGGAAATGAGGGTCCTTCTAGATGTTAATTACACTTGCCAAAATAAATGGAGTTCTGTGGCCAGATAATTATGGGAACTACTGAAAGCCGCATTCCTATCTTAAAAGTTTGTAGTGGACATTAGATTTTTAAAAGCTCTGAGGAATTGTACAGTGAAGGATCCTGATACACATATTTTGACAACAGAACTCTGTGGTGTCCAGTCTATTATTCGCATTAAATGAACTGCTACTGTCTTGCAGGACACAGTCATTCATCCATTCAGTCCATGTATTGAGAGCCCACTCTGCTTCAGGCTCATGCGGGGGAAACCCCTGTCTGACATTGCTGCTGGCCTCAGTGTGTTGAAAATAATTGTGTAGACCAACTTCCAAAATTGGAATCTTTGCTATAACTAAAGATTCCTGGGTTCCATCGAATACATTCTATCTGCCCAATCATTTATGGATATTAAAACATGGTTTTGATTCTAGTGCATGCTAGGAAGAAATAGAACTGGATTTGAAGGTGAGGGAATTCAATAGCATAGCATTTTTCTCCTCAAATTTAATTAAAATACTTATAAAGAAATGTGAGATTTAAATACATTCTGTATTCTCAAAGATCAACACTATAGCTTATGGAAAAATAAGGAAGCTGAAAATGATATGAACTCATGAAAGCAACACAAATGATAAAGCAGTTACTAGAAAAATGTTAATTCTTAAAATACACACCAAACTGTAAGAAGAATTTAGAGAATGGTTGATTCCTAAAAGTAACTGCCATTTATTGACCTGTCTACTATACTATTGAATTAATGGATCTCTCTCTCTCTCTCTCTCTCTCTCTCTCTCTCTCTCTTTCTCTTTATTTATTTTCAAATTTATCTTTATTGTTAAAAGTATTACAGATGTCCCCTTTGTTTTTTGTTGTTGTTTATCTGTTTTCCCCATTGACCCACCTCCTTCCTGCACCTGCCCCTCCCAAACCTTTGCCACACTATTGTTTGTGTCCATGGGCTATGCACATGCCTATATAAATTCCCGAGGTAATCTCTCCTCCCCAACCCCCCACCTCCACCTTTCCTCTGAAATTCATCGTCTGTTCATGGTTCTATCTCTCCGGATCTATTTTGTTCATCAGTTTATGTTGTTCATTAGATTCCACATATGAGTGAGTTCATGTGATACCTTTCTCTGACTGGCTTATTTTGTTTAGCATAATAATAAAAAGCTTCTGCAAAGCAAAAGAAACCATCAGCAAAGTGAAAAGAGAGCCCACTGCCTGAAAGGACACATTTGCAAATGATACATCCAGTAAGAGGTTAATATCCAAAATATATAAGGAACTCATACAACTTAACAAAAGAAAGACAAACTATCCAATTAGCAAATGGGCAGAGGACCTAAATAGCCACTTCTCCAAAGGGGACATACAGAAGCCCAAGTGATATGAAAAAACGTTCAGTCACTAAGCATCAGAAAGATGCAAATGAAAACGAAATGAGGTACCACTTCACACTTGTCTGTCAGAATGGCTACCATCAACAAATCAACAAACCATAAATGTTGGCAAGGATGTAGAAAAAAGGGAACTCTAGTGCACTGCTGGTGGTAATGCAGACGAGTGCAGTCACTGTGGAAAACAGTACGGAGTTTCCTCAAAAAATTAAATATGGAATTCCCATTTGACCCAGTGACCCCACTTCTGACAATATATCCTAAAAACCTTAAAGCATCAATCAGAAAGAATATATGCACCCTTATGTTCCATAGCAGTGTGAGTTATAATAGCTAAGGTTTGGAAACAGCCCAAGTGCCCATCAGCAGATGAATGGATAAAAGAAACTGTGGTATATTTACACAATGGATTACTATGCAGCTGTAAAAGAGAAGGAACTCTTACCATTTGCAACAGCATGGATGGACCTGGAGAGTATTGCGCTACTGATCTATATGTGTTTTAAACAAACATTTAATTCTTGCAACGGGCTTGTGAGGAAGGTATTCTAATATGTATTTTAGAAATGAGAATGCTGAGGCTCAGGGAGTTAAGTAGATTTCCCAAAATTACATTAGCAAATCAGCTTTCTCTGAATATAAGCCTGTCTCCTGTTGAGCCCATATGGCATATTGCTCCTCCTATACCAGACTTTGTCATGCTGTGCTGCTTCTTCTAATGAACAATAGTAGAGAAGATATTGCCTCAGTTAACAAGGGCTGGCTGAGATTTAAATAGACATTCCCAAAGCTTTGAAAACTTTAATAGACTAATAAATATTATGGTTAAGAGCAGTGAACATTAGAATTGATATTGCAGGGACCAAGTTGACAAACTGAGATAAACATGAAAATATATCTAGAAGGAAGAAGAACTAAAAAGATGTGAAGTGAGATGAAAATCTAGAGCAGAGAGATCCAACCTACTTTGGAAAAATAGTATTTCCTGGTTAAAAACCATACATAGCACTAAATCAACAAGATATAATAGTAGAAAACAAGTGTTTAAGGCAAAAAACCAAGAGGGTACATGGAGTGTATCTTGCAAAAACAAAGGATTTCACAAGCAGAAAGAATCCAAGGTTATTTAGTTAGCTTAAGTTTTCTCTTTTACAGATAGGAAGAATAAAGACTGACGTGAGGAAGTCCTGAGTCACACAGCAAATTAACAATGAAAGTGAGATTCAAAATGGAATCTCCTGCATTGCTTTAAGGGTTCCTGAATCCTATATTTTCCTGAAATAAATTAAAAATCTGGAAGAGATTCAAAGACATGATCTCCTAAAACCTGCTGGTGAAACATGGCACCATCCAGGCATAAGTTCACCCTCCATGGCGCCCCCTCACTTGCTTAAAGAAAGTATTTAGGTCCTCGGAAAAGCTGCCTTTCAGACTCAGCTTGTCTCCCGGGTTCACTGCCGGAGAAAGTAGAATGCGTGGAACCCTGTATGACTGGCAGAGCTGAGAGATGCCTGACAGCCCCATGTGCAATGTGGAAGGCCCACCAGGAACATTTCTAGAGGAGGAGTCTTGGCAACTGGTCAATGTTCTGCCCTGAATAGAAAATGGTAACTAGGCTGCTAGCAGTTTCCCACAGAATCCTGCATGCTGCTGTGTTACACAATTTCTCTAAATTTTACTCAAGATTTTATACAAAAACACTAGAGGCCCGGTGCACGAATTCTTGCATGGGTGGGGTCCAGCAGGCCCACCCCAATGGGGGCCAATCAGGCTGGGCTGGCCAGGGGGAGAGGATGCAGGAGGTTGGCTGGCTGGCCCTGCCCCCCATCAGGGGACGGGGAGCTAATTGGGGGCCAGGCCAGCTGGGGGGAGGGACCACAGAAGGTTTGGGGGGGGGGTGATCGGGGCCTCGATCGGGCCATTTGGCCACCGCAGTGTGCGTCATAGTGATTGGTCATTCCAGTCATACCAGTCACTTGGCTTTTATATATATAGATAGTACCTTATACTTGCAGTTGTTAGTGAATTTAGTGGTATCCTCTCATGAAAAACTGGTTTGGACCCAGAGATAGCCAGTGATTGGAACTGACTGCATAACACATCTGAAGGTTGAGCTCAGCTATGTTTCCTGCCATTGGGACCTGTGAAACTGCCAGTTTCTCATAATAAAACACCTTTTAATTAAGCCAGTGGTTCTCAACCTTCTGGTCCTTTAAATACAGTTCCTCATGTTGTGACCCAATTATTTTCGTTGCTACTTCATAACTGTAATGTTGCTACTGTTATGAATCGTAATGTAAACATCTGATATGCAGGATGGTCTTAGGCAACCCCTGTGAAAGGGTCGTTTGACCGCCAAAGGGTTCATGACCCACAGGTTGAGAACCACTGACTTAAGCTAATTTAAGTGATTATTCTCTCTCTCTCTCTTTCTCTCTCTCCCTCCCTCCTTTCCTCCCTCCCTCCCTCCCTCTTATTTTTTTGCAGTCAAGCAGATTACTAAGACAATGTCAAATTTCCCTTTGCCTTTGTAAACAATATATTAAGCTATGCAGGTGAGTATAATCAAGATTATCTTCAGCAAGGGAGAAGTTTTCAGTATAATGTTAGGTCTAAAGTACTTTCAGAAGTGTTTAATGAGTACTAACTATTTGTGCTGACAGAATACGCCTGTTGGCCAGCTCCATTGCTTCAATGTTAAGGGTCTCATCTATTTCTGTGTTACAGTTTGGACAGTTCACCTTTTGATGTTCTGTTGTTTCTCCTTGGCTTAACTAAGTAAAACACAAATCAAAACCAAATAAATAATACATGAATATTAACATAGTTTAGCATAAACCTTGAGCAAGTCATACACCAGTTTGGTTTGAAAAATTATAGAAAATTTTCTAGATACAGAAAAATGTTCAAGATTACTTGCACAGTTATCTAGACATAAAATGATTGCCAGTTTGGGGAGGAAAGAGTTATAACATATCTTTATCTTTACTTGGCATTGTTGACAATTTATAAAAGCTACTGCATATATAATCACACTTTAAGCCAGTGGTTCTGAAAGTATGTTTCCCCAGTAGCATCTGCATCACTTGGGAATTGTTAGAAATGAACATTTTTAGATCCCTCCACAGACTTACTGAATCCGAACCTCTGGGGAATGCGGCAACACTGCTCCTTGTTTTGAATTTACAACATATATTTTGTGTGTAATTGAAGAGGTTGTCACTTCTACTTTGCCCCACCGTGATCACAAAATTCCCTAAGATCCTCTCCTAACTATTGTGGTGAATAAGGAGTTACCAATACAACGTTTCTGTCAATTGTAAGTATTAAAATTGTGAATTAATATTTGTAACATTTTTTCTACTTAAGGACAATCATACCTACTCTGAAGGGATAAGTTAAAGATATTACTTGCTTACTGCATATGGGTTTTGAAATATAATCGCTTTCTCAACCATGTTCCAATCTGCATTAGCAAGATCTTTATCAAATTTGAGTGCGGAGGCTGCAGATTTGGTTATCTCTTGAAAATGTTGAAATGTATAATAAAGTGACTTATATTTTGTTGATGTGACATCACGCAGACCTTTGATACAAAGAACACATTTATAAATAGAAGGAACATCACCCTTTTAATCTGAATTTTAAAGCTTCCTTTTGTTCTTACTGTATGTACTAAATAGTTTTTTTAATTAAACACAACATAAATTGTTTAATAATAGGAACACTAACAATTTCAAAATTTTCTACTTTCATACTCCTCCTAATAACTAATATTTATTGAGTCCTTATCATATGCTCTTTGCACGTATTAAGTTTTGTTTTTATCATCTTGATCACCTTTTGAGGTGAAGCTCTTTTCCCAGTTTAATAGATGAGGAGACAGGGGATTAAATTGGCAGACTGAGTAAAGCAGATTGCCATTCTCAATGTGGTCAGGCCTCTCCAGTTTGTTGGAGGCCTAAATAGAACAAAAGGCTGAACAAAATAAAATTCACTCTCTCTGACTGATGGTCTTTAAGGTGGGAAATTGATCCTCCCCTGCCTTCGGATTTGGACTGCAATTTATATCATTGCCTTTCCTGGTTCTCAGGCCTTTGAACTGCATATTCTTCGTCTATATCTGTACATGCCATATAGGTATAGGTGTATACATAAATATATATAAATAATGTACACAGATACATACACATATACAGAGTATGTGTACATATATATCCTACCTATATGTAAAATCATATATATGATATGTATGATATATATTTATCCCCATATATATCTCCAGACCTCATTAAGGTTTGAAGTACTCTTGCTATCAGATATAAATTCCTTTTTTGAGCCATAGAAGCTTGTTTGGAAAGCAATAATGTTTCATGAGCAAATGTTCACTGCTCTCAGTGCAAATAAACAGACCCTCCACACTAAGAATTTTAGGTTTATCTAGCTACTAAGTAGAACATCTAATACTTTTTGAAAAGTGTTATCTCTTTAATCTATTCTTCCCATTTTATTATGCTAAGGCTCACATAATTTAGGGTGGAGGGGAAGAAAGGGAAAAAGATTTTGTTCCAAATATGAGGAAGGAAGGGAGATTGGGTAGTATTATCCATAAAGATGAAATTTCAGATTGAAAAAAAAAATATGTCATTAGAGTGAAAACTCCATGTATCATAAAAAGGGTAATAGAACAGTTAAGAATATAATGGGTTAAAAGCATCAAGGCAATATGTTTCTAGTTCTTAACTGCCATTACCTAGTAGTATGACCTTGGGCAAGGACTTTTAACTCTCTAAGTCATTTTCTCAATTGTTAAAAAAGTAGGGGCTTAAAACAGGCACATTATATTATGCAGACATCCTCCTAAAGTTGTTATTTCTGCTTCCATTCTCCTTGCCACCCCCTCTTCCCAATCAGTTATCCACAGAACTAGAGTGGCCTTTTTAAGACCTTAATCATATATTAATTAAACATATGGCTTCCTCAGTAATCTACTTACCTGTTGTGTTTTTAAATGTATTTACATGTGGTTTGTTTAGTTTAATATTACCTTATTTGACTTCTTTACTGACTGTTTACTTATCTCCAATGTAAGCTCTATCAACTCAGAAATCTGGTCAGTCTTCATAATGCATCACTGTCAGTTAAATTGTTCCTGGCATATAGAAGGCTCTTAATACAAGTTTGTCAGATAACTGAATAAACTTACTGTATTATGTTACTTAAACTGGACTAATGTAAGTAAGTAATTTTAAAAAATAAATAAAAAGGTTGTTGGCCTAAACCTTTCATATGACTTTACATAGAGGACCAATTTCCGCTTCAATAAGACATTGTTGATTTGCATTTATATAGCTTCTTTCTTCATTTTTACCAATTCTTTAGCATATTTAGAATACTTCTCTCTTCATTCAGAATACTAATGAGTATACTTACCTAGTTTACTAACTACCATTGGCAAAATAACTCTATTGACAATCAGGGTGATTAAGCATACTGACACTCCATGAAATAATACCTAGAATTGAAAAATACAAAGTATTGATGACAATTTCATATAATATCTTTTGTATTTACCAGTGTAAATTAAGCTAGGTTATACTGTGATAATAGGTGCTCATGGAGGCGAGAATTTGGCTATCAGACGTGATGAAAGTACTCTGGGGTTTCTCTATCTCCCCGCATATATTTCATCCATGCTTTTGGAACCAAACTAAAAATCAGGACACATGGTTTGACATAAGTGCCTACTTACTTATACAGACATTAGGAGTAAGAAAAATAAAAACATTTATAGAGTACATACTTTATATCATATATTATTATTTTTAATATATTTTTATTGATTTCAGAGAGGAAGGGGGAAAGAGAGAGAGATAGAAACATTAACTATGAGAGGGAATCATTGATTGACTGACTCCTGCACACTCCCTATTGGGGTTCTAGCCTGCAACCTAGTAATGTGCCCTTGACTGGAATTGAACCCGGGACTCTTCAGTCCACAGGCCGATCTCTATCCACTGAGCCAAACTGACTAGGGCATCCTAAATTATTTTTTAGAGAGGAAGGGAGAAGGAAAAAGGGATAGAGACATCAATGATGAGAGAGAATCATTGATTGGCTGCCTCCTGCAAGCCCCCTACTGGGTACCAAGCTCACCACCTGAACATGTGCCCTGACCGGGAATTGAATCATGATCTCCTGATTCATAGATTGATGCTCAACCTCTGAGCTACACCAGCCAGGCTCAGATACTATTTTAAATGATTTATATGTTTTTATTCCTTCAACCTTCATAATAAACTATTCTTTAGGAGTGTGAAGAAGGGACTTAGGGATCCCCAAGCTAGAATGGGGAAGAGGGAAGTTGCCAGTTGTTCCTCCTCTGTCCATTCTTGCCATCATAGTTAAATCACTCCCACAGTCCAAGTGGGGTTAAGCTACCTCACTACAAAAGCATATTTTAGCCTTGGGTGGGGGACAGGGGCAGGCTAGGAGGTGTCAATGGGGAAAATAAAGGGGCATATGTGATACTTTCCACAATAAAGTTTTTTTAAAAGCACATTTTAGTATACAACAACAGTTTTAATTAAGTTTTCAAATAAATAAGAACATATGTTCTTTTACTTGCGATTTTTCCCTCTCAGTTCCAACAGAAAGGTCAGAGTAGGCAAGCAGAAGGGCCATCGTTACATTAGGCAAACCTCTCATTTCACTCCAGACCATTATGAATGCCCAGCGCCAGCTGAACCCATCACCAAGTCGAGACAGAAGAGGGCTCAATAATAGAAAGACCAGAAGTCTAAAAGACAAAACGAATTTTTAAAAGTTATCCTTATAATAGAAAGTTCTTTTCATTTCACCCATCTATTCCCTGTGGAATTGCCAACTCTAAGACAAATGAGACATCTTTCATGTGCATAGTATCAAAGGAAGGCCAAAGGGCATTCCGTAGAGAGACATGCCAAACAAATGCCATTCATCTTTGTTTCTTCCTGTAGGGTGAGCAGTAGGAAAATTTCACATCACTTTTAGTGGTGCTTTTTCAAGCAGAAAAGAAAAAGTTTGAGATGTTTTGTAAATTATTTATATACTAGAGGCCTGGTGTACAAAATTCATGCACTCGGTGGGTTGGGTCCCTTAGCCCAGCCTGTGCCCCTCTTGTAGTCCTGGAGCCCTCGGGAGTGGGCCTAAGTCAGCAGTCCCACATCCCCCCTGTGGGAGCGCATTGACCACCAGGGGGCAGCTCCTGCATTGAGGGTCTGCCCCCTGGTGGTCAGTGCATGTCATAGCGACAGGCCGTTCTGCCATTTGGTCAATTTGCATATTAGCCTTTTATTATACAGGATATTCTGTTCTGGGATCCCAAAAGAAACAAAAGTAAATTAAATGAATAAGTAGGGACAGAAGTTCTCTTTTTTTTTTTCTTTGCAAACTTAAATCTTACTGAATCTGTACAATATTGGTCAACTCATTTATATTTCTTTTTTCACTTATATATCATTCCTATATTTTATACTAATTGTATCTGATAATTTGGGACTAATTTTCATTTACTTGGCACTAGCCAATTTGATATCAACTCCCAACTGATTTTCCTAAATGGAAGTAGAATGTTAACAGTTTGAATGATGGGGTTCTAGTTATACTGTTTTTTTTTCTCTCTCTGTCATCTCCTTTTCACCTACATAGGCAGACTCTTTTCCTGCCTCTTTATACTGGAAAAGGGCCAACAAAAATTATTTGAGCAAAAAGGACATTTACAAAGAGAGCTTCCTTATGTTTTTAAAAACCTCTTTCCAACTATGATTACTAGGAAATTATTTGTTATGAAATATTAAGCAAATAAAGTAAGAACATCTTTTTAAAAAAATTTATGATAGGTGTTTAACTTCATGAACCCTCAAAGAAAAAGAAAAACTAGTGGATGAAATGAAACAAATATTAATAGGGTTGCCTCTAGGTAGCAAAATTATAATTTTTTTTCTTTTTTCTAATCTTAAAAAATCTTACAGAGATCTTGCATTGCTTTAAAATGAAGTTAAAAACTAAAAACAAACAGAAAAACACAGCTAAGCGCTAATTTGCTGATGATTCTTTGGAAAGTTTATGAATCAAATTTTCATTCTAAGGAATGAAACATTTTTGTTATTTAAAAGAATATCTTCAGGTTTATTCAGTGTTTTATAAACAGAAAACTTTAAATGATGTTCTTACCTTAAAACAATAAGTGTGAAGTAGATATTTAATGAATAGTATATATCAGAAAATGATACATATAAATACGTATGTGCAGGAATTAGAAGTCCAATAAAAGTAAACACCATAAGAAAAGCAACAAATGCTAGACAATTCCAGAATCTGCATTTTCAGAAAAAATTAAATACAGTTAATTATGGTGAAATAACATATTTCTTTCAAGGCTCATATGTGAGTGAGACATTGTGTTAGGCATTATCAAGAAAGTAAAGATAAAGTATTTATAAACACTCAAGGAGCTTATAATTTAACTGGGGAGAAAGTTGCACTAAGGCAAGTAAACAAACAATTCTAAAGCAATTTTGATCAGTTTACACTGAATGTAAATTAGTGTGTGTGGTTTTTCTTTGGTGTGTTTTTTGTTTTGTATTGACTTGGAAAGACATGTTTAGGTTGTAATTATGCTCAAAGATACTAACTGTGAAGTCCTTGTATCAAGCGGGAAGTACTAAAATCATTGATCTTGAAAGGGAATCCTGAACTGTTAGTCTGATTTACATAGTGAGAGAATGAAACCTTTGCCTAAAATCTAGAAAGCACTTAGAAGATGTGAATGAATCTTTTATAGCCATGAATGCCCTTTGTAGATTTTCCTTTTGAGGTTTGTGAGCATGCGTTTATTCAGCTGCTCCTGAGCCCAGGAGAACTCTGTCATTCCCAAAGCTCCTGTTCTCATCAGCGGCATGCAGAGCAGCTTGGGAAAGCACGCTCAAATCCAGTATGGGTGCTGGGTCCATAGGAGGCTATCTGAACCTGACTTCTTGTTGCCTTTTGACATATTTCATGTCTTTAATGTCAACTATTATAAAAAATGAATGGAAAAGATTAAAAAGGCTCAAGAATGCAATTTTATGAGAAGATTGTAGCTTGATTTTACCCATATGTTGTCAGACTCTGCCCCTAAAACCCTTTAAAGATCATTTTTGCCTCTTCTCCAGGAATACTGTTTTTGCTTAAAAATAAATTCAACACTGAAAGTAAATCTTCTTCTGTTACATTAATAAGAAATCTCTGTTTCTAAGAGGTAAAAGTACCTAGGCATTATCAGAGAAAATTTTAATATAAAACCTTCTAGCCTGGGAAATTTTAAGGCAAATTATTCAAAATACTAGAGGCCTGGTTCCCTCAGCCTGGCCTGTGCCCTTTTGCAGTCTAGAAGCCCTTGGGGAATGTCCAACTGATGGCTTAGGCCCACTGCTTGTGGGCCTAAGCTGGCAGTTGGACATCCTTAGTGCTGCCGCGGAGGCGGGAGAGACTCCCGCCACCACCACTGCTCTTGCCAGCTGTGAGCCCGGCTCAGGGCTTCTGGCTGAGTGGAACTCCCCCTGTGTGAGCGCACTGACCACCAGGGGACAGCTCCTGCATTGAGTGTCTTCCTCTTGGTGGTCAGTGCGCATCATAGTGACCTGTCGTTCCATCATTCGGTTAATTTGCATGTTAGCCTTTTATTACATAGCACTAGTGGCCCAGTGCACGAAATTCATGCACGGGGGGCGGGGGCGTCCCTGAGCCCAGACTGCACCCTCTCCAATCTGGGATCCTCGGGGAGTGTCCGACTGCCGGTTTAGGCCTGATCCTACAGGTAGTTGGACATCCCTCTCACAATCCGGGACTGCTGGCTCCTAACAATTCACCTGCCTGCCTGCCTGATCATCCCTAACCACTTTGCCTGTCAGCCTGATCTTCCCAACTGCCACCCTCAGGCCTGATCACCTCTAACTGTCCCCCCCCCCCCCGGCTGGCCTGATCGCCTCCAACTGCCCCCCATCCAGCCTGCTCACCCCAATAGCCCCCCTGCCAGACTGCTTGCCCCCAACTGCCCCCCTGCTGGCCTGCTTGCCCTCAACTGCCCCCCCATTGGCCTGATCACCCCCAACTGGCCCCCCACCAGCCTACTCACTCCCAACAGTCACCCCTGCCAGCCTGATTGCCCCCAACTGACCCCACCTGCTGGCCTGCTTGCCCCCAACTCCTCCAACTGCCCCCTGCCAGCCTGATCGCCCCCAACTGCCCCCTCCCTACCGGCCTGCTTTCCCCCAACTTCCCCCTCCCTGCCAGCCTGATCACTCCCAACTACGCCCCCCCTGGCCTTATTGCCCCCAACTGCCCCTCCCTGCTGGCCTGCTCACCCCAACTGCTCCCCCTGCTCCCCCACACTGGCCTGCTCACCCCAACTGCCTTCCCCTCCTGGCCTGATTGCCCCTAACCACCTCTGCCTCGGCCTTGCCACCATGGCTTTGTCTGGAAGGCCTCCCAGAAGGTTTCCTGGTCTAATTAGCATATTACCCTTTTATTAGTATAGATTTTTCTATGATGAATTTAGGCTTATTATTCTACTAGAAGCCCGTTGCACGAAGATTTGCTCAATAGGTCTTCCTTCCCCTGGCTGCTCGCACTGGTTTTCCTCCGGCACCCAGGACCCAGGCCTTTGGTCCGGCAGCAGCAGAGAAGCCAGCCTCTTTAGTCTTCAGTCTTCAGTCTTCACTCCGGCCAGAGCCTTCAGTCTTCACTCCACACCTGTGTATGCAAATTAACCACCGTATTTGTTGGGTTAATTTGCATAGTTGCTCTGATCGGCTGGTGGGTGTAGTGGAGTGATACCAATTTGCATGTTTCTCTTTTATTAGTGTAGATACAGCAAGCTATCATCTCTTTCTTGTATATGTGTGGCAATATTTTAAATTCCATTACCTTCTGGATTTAAATATTGCATCCACATTAACTTGGAGGAAAACACACTAAGATATATTTTATGACAATTGTGTTTTGACTTCCCTATCAAAAACAAATCCAATTGTTGCACCATAAACATAGTCACTCCCCAAAAGAGTTTCTCAAAGCATTACATCCACCTACCCATACATTTAAGGCAATCACTTGTAAACATTGAGTAGGATAATTCAGTCAAGGAAGTGGTAGATATGAATCAGTCATACTTTACTACTCATTTAATGATTACATAATTTAAAAATTAACCTTAATATTGTATAAAAATGTCATCAAGTACCAAAGATTAGTCTTGTTAATTAACATAAAATGTAATAAAATCAATGAAGCTATAAATATTGAGAAGCTGTCAAGACCTTTTATATGTGGTAGAAGTTAATGAGAGAAACCTGACGTGTGTGTGTGTGTGTGTGTGTGTGTGCGCGCGCGCGCAGTGAGTCAGACACATACAAAAAAGAGCTTCTAAATATTTTTTTCAAGTCCCTTTCATTTGGGGATCGTGCGTTATGCTAATAAATCTAGATCTTTTATGGTAGCAAAGGGTCACATTTTTATCTGTATGTAACTTTTATCTGGAGAAAGATTTGCTTATTTAAAAATATTTTTATTGAGAGGAAGGGAGAGGGAGAGATATATAGAAACATCAGTGATGAGAAACTTTGATCAGCTGCCTCCTGCACACCTCCCCTGGAGATCAAACTCACAACCCAGGCATGTGCCTTGACTGGGAATCAAATCATAACCTCCTGGCTCATAAGTCAATGCTCAAGCACTGAGCCACACTGGTCAGGCTGGAGAGAGGTTTTAAAAATTAGAAGTGCTATGCTCTCACCCTCATATGTTTTGACTCTATAAATCTAGGCATCTGTATTATTTTTATTGCCCAACATTGCACAGCCCCTAGCTTAGAAGAATGATAAGAACTTATGGACTGGATATTTTAGGGACATCAATTTGCTTAGAATAAGAGATTATACATGATGGTAAGGAAGTATTTCCTACTTGGAGAACTTCTTTCTAACAAAGTGATGTATTAACAGAAGCATGAACGAAATGAGGCAGCTACTTCTGCCCCTCTGTAGGGTGTGTATGCAATATGCACATTCCAAGAGCAGACACACAAGGACACAAGCCTGGATAGTAACATATTTGGCATGTTTGAGAAACAGCAAAGTGATCGGTGTGGCTAGAGCAGGGTGGGTGAGGGTGAGAGTGGTAAAAGAATCATAGAGTTAATGAAGGGACATATCATAGGACTTTGTTTGCCATTAAAATAACTTTGACTTATAGCCAAATGAGATGAGAAATTAGATTATTTTAAACAAAAGAAATGATCTGAGACAGGGGTAAGTGAGGTGGGTAAGAATCAGTAAAAGATAATAAAATTAATGCATTATTGTCGCAGCATGTTTGCAGAATTGTTAGAATTGTGGTACTGGGGGCGAACACTGAAAAGATAGGAGATGGTGTGCCTCTACTCTAAAAGAGTAGTATGCACCTGCTGTAGATTATTATAGGATGTAATAGGATTTAACATTATTATCTTAGGTTTCAACTCTTTTGGAGAGTAGAAATTAGTACATATCATATTTTAGATACTAAGATTCTTGAAATTGAGGTTATGAAGTGGTTATTTGTATGACCATATAAGTGGGTGGCTGAAGCAGGGTGTGGTGGACATGTTCTTAGGTGGAGAGAGGTTCAAGAACTGAAAGGTGAGGAGTAAAGGATCAATTGTGTGTATACTGACTGACATCACTAGGAATGGTGATGAGTAATGGAGAGAAGTCACAGTGAGTGCGGAGGAGGGAGAATCTTCTCCGGGCTCTGTTGATAACTACAACCAAGAAGGTGGCAGATGGTATAATCTGATGTCATGAGCTTCAAAATTAAGTTGCACTCAGGAAGAAGGAGAAACTGTTATATAGAAATGACTGAGGTACAGAGTCTACCTCAACGCTAAGCTCAATAGTGCCAGGGAAGCAGGTGAGAAAGATACCATGACTTTTAAGGAATGCAAAAGAACTAATGCCTTCAGGGAAAATCCAGCTTTCTCTTTCATTTAGAGCAAGAAGCTAAAGGGAGCCTTCATAATCACTTCCCATAGATACAGTTGAATATTAGTGTAACATTTTGAATTATTCCTACAACTGTGGCCCAATTAGTTCTGCCTAGCTGCTAGTACAACCACCTTTCATTGTAATTGATAAAAAAATTTTAGTGAAGTGCTCCAAAATCTTATAAGATCCTATACTTTTAAGCTTCTGACTTCTAAATTTATTCTATCTTCTATAATATTCTTCCAAACTCTAAAACTCATCATGCTCAGGGCTTCCTTTAACACATATGTTGCCATTGTGTTTTGTGGGTCCTCTGTACTGGAGCCTTGCAGAATGCACCCTTATTTGAGGCCAGCACAGATTCCATACATCCTCAGGTGGGTGCCCGTGAACACATTGGTATATTTCTACTAAAGTTAAGTCTTGCTTTTAGTTTGGCCATACTTTCTATTTTTATAACAAGACTTACGTTTAGTTTGGTCATACTTTCTTTTAAGAAACCGTTAACCCTCTTCAAATGCCCTAGCTTGACCTTTTAATTTGCTTTGTGTGGCATCTCTTTATGGTCTTTAAAAATTATGGTCTTTAAAATATTTGTCTTCCACTCTAGTGTCAGTGCCATGCTGAGCCCCACTGGAGCCTGAGGCAAAAGGAACTATCAGTAATATTGATCTTATCTTTATTTAACATTTTAATATTTTCATCATTGATTTTTTGCATTAGTTTGCCCCAAAATATTGCATTAAACACATTATTTATGTTGATTATTGAGGTTTTTTGGCACCCTCTAAAATTGTGTGCCTGAAATGAGTGTCTCCCTTGCCTTCCCTTATTCCTAACCTTGTCTAGTGATTTAGATTGGAAATTACTGAGTATATGGTAAAAGAATTCATGGGGGAATAGGGCCAATATGAAGTTAAGGTGAACTTAAAAGTTTTGCCTAAAGTTAAAAGAGTAGAAGACACAGGCAACAGATTCTAGAGGAAGTGTTTTCAGTTGGGTAGTTCCGATCAGTACCTTACTTTGACCATGTAGCTGCAGGTGCAGTTATTATTACAATATTATGGCTTCTAATGTATGAAACAAAATGAAAATATGCTGGCCACTCACTCAAGTAGTAGTGACTCAACTCCTGGTTTAAGACTTGTAGAATTTAAGAAAAGTCCCATAATGGCCAGTGTAAAGACTCCAGACATTCCAACTAGCTCACCTATTTTTGAAAATAAATAAAAATAAAGTATTAATTTTATCACGGATGAAAATATCTTGATAGTACAGTGACTGTACAGAGAGGCTATCAGACATGGTTTCAATTGCATAATACTAAAAATTGCTACCACCACCCATCATCCTTCTTCCTCCTCAGATGCACACCCACTTGTGTGGTAAAGTCTATACTAGATGTCCTTACACTGTTTTGGCTTCATATCATAGGCAACAATGTGGAGCTCACAAACTCTTCTTGGGCTTTAGTGACGTTAGAGCATCAGCTACAGGTCTAATTTTTTCAGAGGGGCTCTGATGAAGGAAAGGGAAGTGAGCTGATAATTTCTTTATATACTAGCCTACTTCAGATGCTTTCTTTTTGGGAGACAGTAGGAAATAGAAACGGTTTGATTTGGTGACAGGTCTAAGGGAGTTGGGTCAGTAGAAACCCAATATGAATCTACTTCCCTAGTTTAATTTTGTTTTGGTGCATTTACGATGGGAGACTAAAAAGCCTAAAGTACTGTAGCATATTCTAAAAATAGCTCTAGTAGAGTTATATCCCTCTCCAGCTTATGATAGTAGTATATTATCACTGTAAAGAATTCAAATAATATGGCATAGTATAAATTATATTTTTAAAAAACAGAACACCTGAATTCTACTGCCACAACCCTAGTTATAATTCTAAAGTATTTTAAACTGGGATTTCTATTAGTGACAAGCCTATATTTGCCTAGAAGAAATAATTTGATAACTAATTGAAAATAGAGGATGAGACCCAAAGGGCAGCTTCAAAAATTAAAGGATGCTTAATGAATTTTTATGCTGGAGACAAGTGGTAAAAATTAAGCAGGAAACATGGAAAGGTTAGAAAATAAAGGTAGCTATTAGATTTCATTGAACTGCGAACTACATAATGTAACTTACCCTGTGAACTTTCCTTGTCCTCATCTTCAGTAAAGCTTACTATAAATCAGAAACTGTGGCATATTAAAGAAGAGGTAGCAGAGATCATAAGAAAGATAACTCCAGAAATTTTTAGAAACCATAAGATCATCTCTGGATTTTTTTACAAGCTATAGAATTAAGTATTTCATGTAATTGGATCAAGATCTTGGAGAAGAATGGAGTACCCAGTGAACATTCATGGTGACATACATTCTCTCTCTCTCTCTCTCTCTCTCTCTCTCTCTCTCTCTCTCTCTATATATATATATATATATATATATATATATATATATATATATACTAGTAGCCCGGTGCACAAGATTTGTGCACTCGGGGGAGGGGTGTGCCTCAGTTATTAAACATTTTACAGCACAACACTGACCACATTGGTGGTGGTGGTGGTCTTGTCAGAATGTGTTATATTATGCAGATGAAAATCTATTTAAACAGATTTGATGTAGATATTTTCAAAGATGGAAGAATTGTCCCTGTCAACTATTTTAGTTGATTGATATCTTCAGTAATTGTCATCATTGCAAAGTTTTCAGTCCCCATATGGATTGCTGGATATAATAGGTCATGCGCTGTCCCTGTCCTTTGTAGCCTTTGTTACCTTAAGGACTCTAGTTTTCCATTTATATGTTTAAGTACCAACCTTACCAGCTTAAAAATGTAAGCTTTTAACACTGCTCTCTCTGTTCTGTATCCTTCCAATGAAAAGTGGAGTTGGGTTGCAGCACAGGAGAGAAATTCAGAAGGGGAATATTGAAGTAATGACTACAGTAGGAGAAGAGGGAACTTGTTTCCCTGGCCACAGGCGCTGGCTCCCTGAATCACAGGGCTGGCAGCTTCTCTGGGTGGCTGCACCCTAGGACCTCTGGCCGGTAGCTTGTCCATCTCCTGGGCTGCAGCCAGCCCCAGGCGCTGGCACCTGGACCAAAGGTGGGCGGCTTCTTCTTCTGGGGGCTTCTTCTTCTTCTGTGCTTCCAGGGAGGGCAGTCAGTTATGTATCATGCAAAAATAGGCATCACCAATCGCAGAAGCTGGGTGCGGGGCAGGGAAGCCGCAGCTGGGGAAGCTGGCTGCGGCCGCTTCCCTGATCCCCTGCACCCGGCTTCTGCGGTCACGGTTGCTGTCTGTGTCTGCTTCCCTGCCCCCCCCCCCCCCCCAGGCTTCTCCGATCACCTGCTGGTGGCAGGGCAAAGGTGGCCTCCAGGGCCGACCTTTGCCCCGCTCCCTGGCTCTTGCCTTCGCCCAGGTTTCTGATCACTGTCTTCCATCCTTCCCCTTTTGCCTCCCATCATTGTGAGTACACAAATTAACCACCATCTTTGTTGGCGATTAACTGCCATCTTAGTTGGCAGTTAATTTGCACATCGCCTTGATTAGCCAATGGGAAGCATGTCGGAGCTACGGTTAATTACCATGTTTATCTATTATTAGATAGGAGGATATATATATATATATATATATATATATATATGTATATATATTCACATAAAAACTACAATGGGATTTTAAGGTAATGTGGTTCTGTATTTGGGCTTCTTTTTTTAACTTAATGTTTAGCAGACACTGTTCTGGTTAATAAAAAAGAATTATTTTTGTTTTACTATTGAAGAACATTGTGGATATGTCACTTTTATTTTATTGCCATATTTATCCAATTGCTATATGTGTACCTTCTGTTTTTTTGGTTTACTTTGTATTCCTTTGTTACAACAGTTGTATTTTAATAACTGTAGGCTTATAAAGTGTTTAATCCCTACCTATTAGGGAAAGATCTCCACTTATAATTATGTTTTTCCAACTCTCACCGTTAATATTTCCTGATAACCTCTTTAAATTGTTTTGTATAATTTCAAAACCAAAAAAGTGAAAATATGCTAGCCACCACATACTTCTGTCATTGTTCGATTCCAATACATTTTAATTCATTAAATCAGTATTATTCTTACTTTAGAGGTAGAAAATTATAAGTTTTAAAATTCTTTATTTTATTTCTGGCTAGAAATGGTACCTAAGCCATAAAATAACACATTAGTCATTTTTGAATCCTGAAAAAAGAGGGATCTGTGGACATAGGTGCTTTAAGGCTCTCAATTCTTGAACTAGTCACTGTAACTTATTATGCAATAGTAAAATTTGGAAAATATTTATGATGGCTACCTTGAAGATACTAAAAATATAAACATTACACCAGGACAGAGTGAAAGTCCTTTTACATTAGATTTATATTCACTCTATCTTGTTTTCATACATTTTTTTCCTAGAATTGCTCTTTCTAAAATGTTTAGTGAGAGACATTTTGACTCAATGTTTATTATTTTCTGGGGGTATAACCCTTAATATTGAGGTTATGCTTGCTTACTAAATGGTGTTAGAGGAAATTATATTATAAAAATATATTGCTGGGATATATTTTTGCAAGAAATTAGGTATGTAAAATTTAAGTAGTATATGATAAAGGACTTGTACAGATTGATCATATTCTCATAATTAATTTATTAACTTGATCCTGTAACATCAATAGATTATAATTGGCTTTAATTCACTGAGCAATTGGGAAAACTCAAAATCCTACATTCTGCCTTTCTTTCCTCAGACATGAAAATAATAAATCCTGTTACATTAGCACTTCTAAAGTTTTTTCCTGTCTCAATTAATTCAAATTTTATACTCTCGGTAAACTTTTATAGTTTTCTGTTTAGGTCTAAATTTCTTGTAAGTTTATTCCTTGATATTCTATAAATATTTTTCCAATGTAAAGAGAATCAAATTTTCATTATATTTTCTAACTAGTTACTGCTGACTTATAAGGACAGTACTGATTTTTTATATTAACTTCATACTACCTATTAAAAAGCATCATTGGCTTATTTTCTTTAAATTTCTATATAATCTAAAATGCTGCAACTACTATAACCATTTCTCTTTCAAAATATGTATAAACTGTATTCTTTTTATTTTATTTTATTAGCTAGAGCTTCCAGAATAACTTTTAGTCTTGGATATGAGATTAGGCAACACTGTCTTATTCTTAAATGCAATGGAAGTACATATTAAGCTGTTGTCTAGGTATTGTCACATATGCCAACTTCAAATCATTTGTAGGGCCATCTGAAGAACTGGGTTGAACATGATTCTGAGGCTGTATCGGCAAACAGTGATATAGCTAATTACCCATACCTGCCATACTTCTATGAGAAGAAAGTGGTGATAAATGGATTAATAATAAATTTTATAATATGTAGCCTTACTTGATCTTTTTGATCTTTGAGATACCAAGAAAAGTATATTTAATGTCAGGCAGTTAGAATGATTAAGATCTTCCTTTTGTAGTTAGTATTTAATTGCATTGTGGATTTAGAATTTTATTGAAATGTTCTGTAGTCTAGTTTATTTCTGTAAATAGTCTACAGGTATATGTAAAGGATATTCATTATGTTTTAGAAAGGAAAACTCTACATATCTTATGAACCCCACATTTAAGTTTTTATTTAAAATTTTTTATAGCATACTAATTTTTTTTCCAATTGGCTATGAAATTATCTGGGAAAGTCATGTTAGAATATCTCATCGTAATTAGGAGTTTTGTCAAATTCTCCTGCTTAATAATGGTATTGCCTTTATATATTTTGGTATATTGTTTTCTGTTGTATAGATACTAACATTTTTATCTCTTTTGATAGATTATTTTAACAAAAAGATTCCTTTTAGATAAGTTAAATTGTTTTAAACTAACTTTTACTTGGCATGCCTATTATGAATTTTTGATATCTTTATTTTTAATTTTTCTATGTGATTTAATTTTAGGGATAGGTTTCTCACTTACAAATAAAAAATATGAGGTACAGATTTGAAAAGTTGAGACTTATATGGTTGATATCATCACCAAAAACAGTAGACATCCACAATTGAACCAGTTTTGCACTTAGAATTCCAAACAAGAAACTTGATAGATAATATGACAATATTGGACTCACGATGCTACGTGCTGCAAGAAAGGGGAGAAAATTAAAAAAAAAAAAGTTAATAGAACTTACTTAATTTTGTGTGATGATATGACTGAATTAGCTTTTCTTTTTGTCATTATCTTTAAAATAGTTCATTCATATCATGTAGGGTGTTTTCATATTTCTGCTCTCAAATTCTGAAAGTCACACAAGTTTACAAAAGTCAGTCAGTTTAGTGTAAGAACTTCTTTCAGTCTCCGTTAAGCAATAAACATTTATTCAGTGCTAAACAGTACAATAAATTTTGGAGATGTGGTAATGTACAAGAGGTAGAAAGTCACTAAATTCATGTCATTTATATTCTAGATCCAACATAAGACACTGAGGAAATGCAGAATGAATTTCCTCCATTGTTCTCACCTGCCAACTTATTGGTTCCTTACTGTTGGACATTTAATGTTTTCCAGTTTTCCCCCTCATACATAATGCTGCAGTGTATATTTATGTTCATAATTTAGTTTTACTTTTCTGATTACTTCCTTAGGCCCCACAAGTGCAGTTATGCATTAAAGGATAGTTACATCTTTAATATTGCTATGTTTTGCCAAAGGACTTTGTATGGTCATTATGATGCCCTCCCCTGAAAATTAGGAAGCCTAAGACTTTGACCTGCCTATCCCCTGGAGGAGGGGGGAGTGTTTATTTCTATTTTGACTCATCATGCTTTATATATTCATAATCAATGCCTAAAACTCAGAATTGAAGACTATTTTTCCCCAAGAAGGCCCATTTAGGGGACCATCATCCTCTCATGTCTTCTTCAAGGGGTCGGGTCCACATGGTGGACAATTATCCTACTTGGTCAAATGAAGCACTCACCTTTAGTTTTTCTCTGTATCCAATTAGTTTACCCAGGCCATGGCAGCTTGGAATATCTGTGGTGAACCTAAAACTCCAATTTAGCACAAGAAGGTACACACCCTCTAAGGTGCTAAGTGATATAAGCCAGTCAGATAAAGACAAGTATCACATAATATCACTTATATGTGGAATCTAATGAACAAAATAAACTGACAGAGACATGGAAGCATGCAATAGACTGACAATTCTCAGAGGAAAGGGGTGAGGGGCAGGAAGAGATTAACCAAAGAATTTATATGCATAATCCATGGACACAGACAATAGTGCAGTGAAGGCCTGGGGATGGGGGGTAGAGAGAAAGGATGAGGGGGTCAATGAGAGAACAAAAAGGGACATCTGTAATACTTACAACAATAAAGATAAATTAAAAAATAGGTCTTTACCTAAGGAATGGTTCATACTTTTCTGGTCGGTGTTAAAATCCATGATACTGGTAAACATATTATAAGACATTATAGAGGTTATCAGACTTTCTCCATTAATTAAATTGATGAGGCCTCTAGAAAGACCTATGGAAGGAAAAAATATTTTAGATGAAAAAAACAAAATTTTAGCAAGTAGAAAAATATTCTTAGCTATGGATATATATCGCATACTTTTTCTGCATACTTAAACTTTAGTCATGTTTGAAAACTCTCTTCAAGAAAATGCAATGATATGTTAACTGTAAGTTAAGTCTAGACCATCACAAGTACCAAATTAACTGTGATTATGGTTGATGTAATTGAGATAATCAACCAGAGCTCTCATTCCTTCTTTCAAAGTAGATGGAAATATGAAATTCATTATTTTTTGAATTCAGTGATTTGGCCTATATAAATACTTACATCACGTATTTATGGCAACATAAAAAAACAATGACAAGGTAAAGTAAATTCATAAACCAAGACTTTATAACACTGCACCTAGTGAAGAGTTAAGGCAATTGCCCAGATACTCTCACTTTAACACAAATTGTCTGATTTTCCTATACATCCTTTTTAGTGGTTTTAGAAACCAGACTCCATGAATGGAGAGCACCTTGATATTATCTATTCTGATCCAAATTTTCCTTCATTTATTATTATATTCTAAGTTTAGATAGCCATTAATTATCATTTTGCTGTGCTATTAAATGTGTCTATGGTGACAAAACTATTACTTGGGGCAACTTTGATGATTTTCCAAATTCCCACAGGAAGGAAACATTACACGGTAAAAGCCCTTCCTGTAGACCAACCACTCTATAGCTGTGATCACAACCTAATACAGTAAGTATGTTGTTGGAAGAGAATAAAAGCAAGGTAGTCTGTTCTTGTGGAAGCTCAATTGCTTTGATAGTTCACTTCTTCACCTACCCCTGCATTGACACCCTTTGCTGTAAGATTTTGCAGTTTCTCTCTTATAATAGACTGAAGAGATCCAGTCTGTTTGGTCATGTAATGATACAAGCAGAGGCTTGAGAAATATTTCTGCTTCCTCTCTTTTGGACTCCGTCACCTTCATGGCAGCGTTTCCTGGCTACACTACTAGGGGGATGTGAGAAATACTTGGAGGAAATGCAGATCACTTAGTGTCCAGGTGACCCTCCAGCTGACGGCAGATTTATTATGAGCCTGGCTAAGACCAGCAGAGCCCAGCCCATATCATCAGAACTGCCAGACTCATGAGAAATAATACATAATTATTGTTTTGAGCCATGCTGTTTTGGAGTTGTTTATTACTCAGAAAAACCTGATAGTCTTGTATAATTATTTTATTTTATAGTTTTGAGCCTCTGTGGATCCCATAGGGCTATATTGCTTCTGCTGCAACATGGATGGACCTTGAGAACATTATGCAAAGTGAAATAAGTCAGACAGAAAAAGCTAAGAACTGTATGATTTCACTCATATCCTATAAAATAAAAGCCTAATGTGCTAATCTGGTTGTCTGGTCGTCTGTTTAACCAATCAAAGTGTAATATGCTAATGATATGCTAAGGCCACTCAACTGCTCACCATGACGTGCACTGACCACCAGGGGCCAGATAGTCGACTGATCAACCAGTCGCTATGACATGCACTGACCACCAGAAGGCAGACAGTTGACCAGTCAAACACTTGCTATGACATGCACTGACCACCAAGGGGCAGACACTCTGACTGGTAGGTTAGCTTGCTGCTGGGGTCCAGCCGATTGGGATCAGGACTGAGCAAGATGGGCCAAACATGCCCTAGAACCCTCCCACAGTTCTCCCCTGGCTGGCCAACCTTCTGTGTCCCTCCCTGGCCCTGATCATGCACTGGTAGGGTCCCTTGACCTGGCCTGCACCCTCTCGCAATCTGGGACCGCTCAGAGAATGTCCGAGAGCTGGTTTCTGCCTGATCCACTCAACACAGGAGCTACCCCTCTGGTGGTCAGTGTGCTCCCACAGGGGGAGTGCTGCTCAGCCACAAGCCAGGTCTAAGCCAGCAGTCGGACATCCCCTGAGGGCTCCCAGACTGCGAGAGGGAGAAGGCCTGGCTGAGGGACCATGCCAGCCACCCTCCCTCCCTCCCCTGAGTGCACGAATGTCATGCAGGTTACTAGTGTGGAATATAAAACTGAAACTTATGAATACAAATAGCAGTGTTATGGTTGGCAGAGGGAGGAGGGTGGGGGGAGAAAGGGGCCCTAATATGAGGAAACAGGTGATTTGACTTTGGGTGGTGGGCACATGGCCCTATACTATACAGATTTTGTAAATTAGTAATCCATACATGAAACCTATATGTCCATGATGACTAATGTCACCCCAATAAAATTTAATTTAAAAAAAGAAAATAGAACTATAACAAAATGTGAATATTTGGAAATAAATAAAAGACTTGGGGGCATAAGAGGAGTCAACAGACCAGAAAAAGCTCAAGACAGTGTGAATGCACTCATGTGCTCTACTCATAAACCTGGACAGATTTTCTTTTTTTAAAGAATAAAATTTAAAAATGTAAAAGTCTTGCTTTTAAAACTCAGGCAAAAATATTTTCAAGAGAAAAATTATTTCTTTTTAAGAGGTATAATGTGAGGAGAAAAACAAAGTTCCAATAGTAATGGCAAGATGGCTAAAATTTACAAAAATGACCCTGCAAATTAACCCAAAGAAATATTTTAAATTCAACAATGGCAAGCCAGGAAACTAGTGGAATACTAACTAGATTATCAGAAGACAAAGTTAAGGGAAGTATGGAATGCTCTCAGGTAGAAAAGAACTCCCCCAAATCTTTTGAGTAGAAAGGGGCTGGCACTGACAGAGTCACATAGAGGCAAGGATAGTTTATAATGCTGGCATTCCTTAGAGTCTACCTCACACTCTTAATCTCCTTGTTTTGAAGACTTGGCTTCCTTTTATTCATATAGATACACTTGAAGTGTCTCCCCTACTCTATTTCTCCCTGTCTCAGATAGCTCTTTCCCCTTTAACTGGCCATAAAATAAAAGAATAAGTGTGTGTGTGTGTGCGCATGTGTGTGCACATGTACAACATATGTGTCTGCATGCACACATGCATGTGTGTGCCACATAAAAATTCTTTTTTAAAACAAATGCTCTAATTCTCATTATTAAAAAGTGGTGGGGGAAAAACAAATTAGGTTTTTGTTTTTCTTGAATAAGGCTCTCAGATTTTCAATGGGTTACATTGATTTGGTATTTTACTTTTAAATATATATGTGTTCTCCAAAATAGTACACACTAAAATACTGTATGATTAGTGATTTTGTTGTTTTGTACTTCTCAGGCTTTTGGTTCAAATGATGACATTGACTCAAAAGGCATTTTTTTTTTTTGTAATTGGAATTATCTTAATGACAGTGTTTTCAAAGGAAAAAAGGTGTTGGGCAATACAAATGTCACCAAAATATATATGCAATATTGTAAAGCCCCCAGAACTGTTCTGTTGGTACAAGGTAGAAGCATGTACAAAGTCAAGGATTCCAAATAATCCCCTGATCTAGTCCATAATTGAATATAAGACTTTAAACCATATGTAATAAGTAAGCCCGTCACTTGCATTTTATTCTGTTCTAAGCATCATCATCCAAATTTCTATGCTCAGTCCCAATGCCCCAGTGACACACTTCACATCATGAAAAGCAGTGAACAGATCTTAAAAATAGACAACTTAAATATATAATATGATATTTTAAATATAGGAAAGGAGAAAAATATACCTACCAAGATCTCTTATAGCAGCTGCAGTCAGCATGGGATCTGAACTCATAAGGATAGATGCAAATAACAACCATGGGGTGGTTCTCAAACGTAATTTATTCACAGATGTCAGATACCAAAGAATTAAGGTATAATTGATACAAAATCCAGGAATTGTAATTAAAATGATCTGCAAATAAATTTTACATATAGAAAAATTAGATTGACTTTTAAAAAGCAGACCTGTAGGATTATTAAAGATGTACAATCACATGCAACTCACCAACAGAAAATTTAAGTTATCTTATTTAACAACTATGTGCTTACAACTCTGGAAATAAAAGGCATATATTGCAATGAGATTCTTAGGACCTAAGAAATACTGTATTATAATTTAAAAAGAAACTTAATTTTCTTGATAAAGCTATTAAACATAGCTATGTATGTGTGAGGTATATACAAACATACCCTAAATACATGCATACATATACATGCATACACATTTGACTATGCATAAAAATTGAAACATAGTCTATAACATAAAAAATGAGCACAAGTTAAAAAAAGGTGTCAAAAAAAGAAAAAGAGAGAGAAAATATGATAACAGAAAAAAATGTAGAGAAATAGCAGAGGTCTATAGACTATAGACAATTTGGAAAGAAAAATTCTGTTATTATAGGGCTGAAAAACCTACCTACCTTCTGACTTCCCACCATCATCTTTTACTTTCCTATATTCTACCTGTGATGTCTACTTATCAACTTTATTCCCAAATGGACTTGGGAAAATGTGATTGTCCTGAAATTATGTATAAGAATTTAGAACTGCACCCCATGTTCATTGAAGTATTATTTACAATACCCAAGACATGGAAGCAGCTTTAAATGTCCATCAATGGATGAATGTGAATGAGTAAAGAAAATATGGCATATATATATCACAACGAAGTATTATTTAGCCTTAACAAAAAGAAGGAAATCTTGCCATTTGTGACAATATGGATAGACCTTTAGGACGTTATGCTAAGTAAAATAAGTCAAACAAAGAAACACAAATACCATATGAACTCACTCATATGTGGACTCTAAAAGAAAAAAAACAACAACTCATGGATATAGAGAACAGATGGATGGTTGTCAGAGGCTGAGGAAGGGGGGTTGATGAAATGGGTGAAGTGTTCAAAAAGTACAAACTTCCAATTATAAAATAAATAAATCATGGGGATGCAATATACAGTATGGTGGCTATAGTTAATACTGCCACATCGCATATTTATATGCTAATTAGACTTATTTTGATATGAAATCATTATGTTATATACCTGAAACTAATATAATGTTACATACATGTCAATTATTGCACTTAAAAATAATAAAAGAGCAATTATAATGATTTTGTAATAATATTGTAAAATGCTCTTACTGCCTTCTGATTACTTAGCTCTCTCACTTGTACAGAGACACTCATACAGAATCAATTGGGAAGTGAGCATCGAACTATAGCACAGGAGGCCTGGTGCAGGTGCTAGTGCTGAGTGATTTGGGTTAAGTCAGTTGATCATACATCTTTAACCCAATTTTAGAAGTGGCAGAACCATAATAGACTGTTTATGTGGCACTCCTGAGAGGAGTCTTCTCTGGATAAAACTTGATGATAGCATCAGGATAGTGAGAGAAAATAAAGGCCCTGTAGAACAGTTACTTCTAGGGTGGGTAAGTTCTTATTTCCTAGGTGTTAGTGGCCAGAATTGTTATATTACTAACTCCTGTTTGGAGGAATACATTAAAATAGGCTCTGAGACAAGAGGACTGAGGCCCAAATCCTTGTCCTTCCACATAGCTGTTGTTGATACTTCAATAAATCACATGGCATATTGTTTGCTAAAGTGGCAGCAGCAATTCTGCTTCCTGAAGCCATACCCTTGCGTGGCTATCGCTCACTCTGACTTTGAGTCAGTCGTGTGATTCATTTTGCCTAAAAGGAGTAAGAGCACACATGATGCAAGGAGAAACTTGAAAAGCGCTAGCAAATTCCATCTGTCCCTCTTCTGTTGATTGATGTCTGAGACTCTGCACCCACTGTGAAGAATCTATAATAATAAAAATGTAATATGCCAATTAGACCGGACAGCCAAACAACCTTCCGGACGTCCTTCTGGACATCCTTCCAAATGAAGCCATGGAGGTGGAGGTGGAGGTGGGGGCTGAGGCAGAGGCAGTTAGGGGTGATCAGGCAGGCAGGCGAGCAGTTAGGGGTAATCAGGCAGGCAGGCAGAATGGTTAGGGGTGATCAGGCAGGCAGGGGAGTGGTTAGTGGTGATAAGGCAGGTAGGTGAGTGGTTAGGGGCAATCAGGCAGGCAGGCAGAGAGGTTAGGGGCGATCAGGCAGGCAGGCAAGTGGTTAGGGGCCAGTGGTCCCAGATTGCGAGAGGGATGCCTGATTGCCAGTTTAGGCCCGATTGGACATCCTCCAAGGGGTCCTGGATTGGGAGAGGGTGCAGGCTCAGCTGTGGGTACCCCACTACCTGTGCATGAATTTTGTGCCCCGGGCCTCTAGTCCTGAAATAACCTCCTAGATCAGTGATGGTGAACCTTTTGAGCTCGGCATGTCAGCATTTTGAAAAACCCTAACTTTGGTGCCGTGTCACATATAGAAATTTTCTGATATTTTCAACCACAGTAAAACAAAAATTTATATTTTTGATATTTATTTTATATATTTAAATGCCATTTGACAAAGAAAAATCAACCAAAAAAATGAGTTCTCGTGTCACCTCTGACACGCGTGTCATAGGTTCGCCATCACTGTCCTAGATGATGAGATAATGTGTGGCAGTGACTCCTATTGCCTAAATCCAACACTACTAGTACCAACCAACAGACACATGAGCAGGGCCCTTCAGCCATCTATCTCATCCTCCTGCCTCAGCTGACTTCCAGAGTTGAACAGACTCAGGAGACAGATAGGCAGAAATCACCAGACCAAACTACTTTTATATCTCTACTAGAGGCCAGTGCATGGATTCATGCACTGGTGGGGGGAATGGCCTGTGGGGATCGCCTGTTGTGGGAGTGCCTCTCATCTGGTCAGCCAAGCGGCTGTGGACCCGCCCTCTGAGCAGCTGCTCCCGCTGTGGGAGAACCGCTCACCCTAGTCAGCCAAGCAGTACTCCCACTGTGGGAGTGCACTGACCACCAGAGAGCAGCTCCTGCATTGAGCGTCTGCCTCCTGGTGGTCAGTACACATCACAGCGACTTGTTGACCGGTCATTCAGGTCATTCCATGGTTCGGTTGCTGGGCTTTTATATATATATATTAGAGGCCCTTTGCAGGAAGATTCCTGCAAGAATAAGGCTTCTAGCAGCTGGAGCGAAGCAGAGAGGGGAGCGAAACCCACTGAGGCAGGCTTCGCTCCCACTCTGAGCCGCTCTGGCTGGGTTTCCCCTCCCGCTCCCAGCCACTCCCAGGCACTGCCCCTTCCCCTCCAAGCCACTGCCCCTCTGGCTCGCAGCCGCTGTGGTTGGGCTTGCCCTCCCACCTCCCGGCTCCATTTCTGTCCTCGAGGCCTCTACTTAGCTCCCTTCTGTACCGCTTGGCCTCCATGTTGTCCTCAGTCTTCCCTCGCAACTGGTATATGCAAATTAACCGCCGTCTTTTAGCTTCTATAATTGAAACATTGTATCTTTTGGGGCTATTACTTCAGGAGCTCAGAGCCGGGTGGCAGCAGGCAGGAAACCTTGGCTTCCTCTGTCACTGGAGCAAGCAAGCCTCACGTTCGCTTAAGCTGCCTGCCTGCCGGCCGCCATCTTGTCTGGCAGTTAATTTGCATATCTCGCTGATTAGCCAATGGGAAGGGTAGCGAAGTTATGGCTAATTACCATGTTTCTCTATTATTAGATGGGGGATATATATATATACACACACACACATACACTAGAGGCCCAGTGCATGAAATTTGTGCACTCGGGGCAGGGGGTCCCTCAGCCAAGCCTGAGCTTTCTTGCAGTCTGGGAGCCCTCAGGGGATGTTTGACTGATGGCTTAGGCCTGCTCCCAATGGAGCAGGCCTAAGCCACCAGTCAGACACCTTTAGTGCGGCCACGGAGACGGGAGGGGTTCCCACCACCGCCCTGCTTTTACCAGCCATGAGGCTGGCTTCTGGCTGAGTGCTTCTTCCCCTGTGGGAGCACAGTGACCACCAGGGGGCAGCTCCTGCATTGAGCGTCTACCCCCTGGTGGTCAGTACACGTCATAACACCTGTCATTCTGCCGTTTGGTTGATTTGCATGTTAGCCTTTTATTATATCAGAAGATATTCTTTTTAATTTCATTTTTTTGGGTCATTTGTATAACCTCCATTTTTCTAGACGCTTTTCAAGCATACATTGTTTTAATAGTTTTGTTTCTAATATAGTTTAGGTAATGGCTTTATATTTACAAAATTGTTTTTTTTTTAATTTTATTGATTTTTTACAGAGAGGAAGGGATAGAGATAGAGAGTTAGAAACATCGATGAGAGAGAAACATCGATCAGTTACCTCCTGCACACCTCCTACTGGGGATGTGCCCGCAACCAAGGTACATGCCCTTGACTGGAATCAAACCTGGGACCTTTCAGTCCGCAGGCCGACGCTCCATTCACTGAGCCAAACCGGTTAGGGCCAAAATTGTTTTTGTTAATTTGAAAGAAATGCACCTCTGCTTAAGATCTGTGGTGTTTTACCTCAAGGTCTTTTCTTATGAGTTCAAAATCTCACATAATTAGAAAAAAATCACAAAAGTTTATAAATTAGAGTTATAGTTGTTTCTGTAAATATTCTTCTTTGTCTTTTTCTTCTCCATGTGGGTGTGGGAAGTTTTAGAAGGAGAGTATTTAAAACATCACTTTTATTAATAAATTTCTTTTACTAGACCTAATAGATTTCACAATAGCTCTCTTATAGCATGACAGAGTTAAAATCACAACTGGTGTTAAGTTCTATCACTCATATTTTCAGGATTATTTTTTCTTCCATAATTTTTTTCCTGAGTCTTCAGTAGACTAGCCATTTGTCAAGATATAGCATAGTCACTAAAATATAAAGTTTATTTTACTTCTTTTACACCTAGCACTTTTCCCCTTTCTTCTTTGTTTCCTAATTTTGAGGAAAATTTTTAAAAATCTAAATATAGATAAAATGTGGTGGCTCATTAGTGAATGATATTATTGGAAAAGAATACTTTTTACCTGCCAAAATAACTTCTGGAACATGTAAACATCCATGTCAAATGCAGCATTAAAGATAATTACTGGTGTAAATAAATAATAAAATAATTGTGAATCCATCCATTGTATGGCACGAGCATATCTTAGGACCTAATAATATAAAAATATGTCATTTTCTTATTTATCTATCCATCTACTAGCATAGACTACATGTTAGATACTCTTATCTCCAACAAAAAAGGAAAACATACATCATAATGTAATAAGTGCTAATGTCTTAATTCTGTCAGATTTTTATAATTTTCCATCAGATTATTATCAATTACAGTGGAAAGTTACTGCACATACCTATGTACATTTTATTTTTTTAACTAGGAAGTACATTACATGGCCACTAGAAATATCTAGGAGATTTTCAAGCATACAAGAGGAAGGAAGACATTTCAGACAGATGGATTATCATACATAAAACCCACAAAGGAGTAAGCAATCATATCAAATTCTAGAAACTGCAAATAACTAGCCATGGCTTAAACAGAAAGTTGTTTTTGGAAGAATAGCAGTGTGTGGGAAGTTAATGCAGCTAATGAAATAACTAATTTGTGTTGTTTATCACAAAATATTTAGCTGATATTTATGAATTTTATTCTGAGCATCCATTCCACATCCATTCCATAAGGAAATACTGAGCACCTACTGAGTTGGGTGAGATCTATGCATGTGGGAGCTGATTCTTGTTGTTTCTTGTGCTTCTCGGGTCTTATGAGTGGTCATTGGTTGCTTTTCATCCAGACTATCTTTTCCAGAATGTTTGAGTGAATAAAAAGTTTGGAAGATAGAGCAAGGTTTCTCTCCAGAGCAAGGGTCAGATTTACTATATTGTTCAGTGCACTAAAGATAATAACTCTTTAGGACAGGTGAGCTAACTGCGCATCATAAACTATTCAAGTTCTCGAAGCTCAGGTTTCTTCTCCTGTAATTCAACCCATTGTGTGTGGAGGTTTTGTCTGGCCCTCTTCGTTCTCTCTCTGGGAGCTGGGACTCATGGAACAGGCACAAGAAAATGCTGACAGTCTGGCTTCTGCAGTTGCCCTGAGTGATAAGAGTTCTTTTTAGCTGGTCCAGGAGTCGTATGGTTTTTACCAGGATCATGAAACTGTGGCAGGCTAACGTATTAGCTTGCAAGAAGAGTAAAGAATTATTGTCAAATAGTAAAGTTTATAGAAGTACTTAAGATTGAGTTTGATCAGTAGTAGGGATGGAGAATGGACCCCGGAGAGCCCCGTGCAGCCCTGCTAGCCTAGTTACCATCACATCAGTAGAAGAGCAGCAGCTGCCCAGCTATACAGCTGGCCCAGTTCACTATCACAGCAACCAAGAGCAGAGGAGTCGGGACCCAGCAGCCGCCCACTGCCCCCACCCCCTCAGCACTGCTGACACCAAGTCTGACACCACAGGGCAGTGGGGCAGGGAGCCCTGACCTGCACAGCCTCATATCAGTGGTGCCTGCGGGTGGGGACAAGAAGATCTTCACAGGGAAGATTTGGGAACAGTGAAATGGTTCAATGTAAAAAATGAATATGGTTTCATCAACAGGAATGACCTCAAGGAAGACGTATTTGTACATCAGACTGCCATAAAGAAGAATAACCCCAGGAAGTACCTTTGCAGTATAGGAGATGGAAAGACTGTGAAGTATGATGTTGTTGAAGGAGAAAAGGATACAGGGCGGCAAGTGCTACAGGCCCTGGTGGAGGAGTTCCAGTGCAAGGCCGTAAATATGCAGCAGACTGGAACCATTACAGAGGCTACCCACGTGGCAGGGGTCCTCCACGTAATTACCAGCAGAATTACCAGAAAAGTAAGAGTGGGGAAAAGAATGAGGGATGAGCCAAGCTGGCGAGGCTCAGTGGTTGAGCATCAACCTATGAACCAGGAGGTCACGGTTCAATTCCTGGTTGGGCATATGCCTGGGTTTCCGGCTCCATCCCCAGTGTGGGGCATGTAGGAGTCAGCTAATCAATGATTCTCTCCCATCATTGATGTTTCTCTCTCTCCTTTTTTCTCTGAAATCAATAAAAATATATTTTTTAAAAAAGAATGAGGGATGAGAGAGAGTGATCCTGAAGGCCAGGCCCAACAGTGCCCGCCCTCCCACTGGCCAGGGTTCCCACCTTACTCCCTGAGGAGACTCTATGGGTGTTGACTACAGTATTCCAACCCTCCTGTGCAGTGAGAAGTGACAGAGGGTGCTGATAACCAGGGTGTAGGGGAACAAAATAGACCAGTGAGACAGAATATGTATTGGGGCTATAGACCATGATTTCACAGGGACCCTCCTCACCAAAGACAGCCAAGAGAGGACGGCAATGAAGAAGATAAGGAAAATCAAGGAGATGAGACCCAAGGTCAACAGCCACCTGAATGCCTCAATGTCGGTACTGACACAACTTCAATTACTGATACAGAGGCACAGAAAACCCTAAACTACAAGATGGCAAAGAGACAAAAGCAGCTGATCCACCAGCTGAGAATTTGTCCCCTCTGGAGGCTGAGCAGGACCAGACTGAGTAAATGCAGGCTTATCATCTCTTTCAGACTATTTTTTCCAGAATATTTGAGTGAAATATTATAAGGTTTAGTCATCCAACAAGAAGAAATGAATATGAAATTCCAGCAGTAAGAAATGAACAAAAGGTTGGAGCTGAAGACCTTAAGTGCTTGCCTTTTGCCATTGAACAGATAACTAGAACTATTGCATTATCTATGCAGCATGGGGTTTTTATTATTTTTTTCCTAAAGATGTCTCTTTTTGATGATGACAACATGTGATTTTTGTTGTTGTTTTTAAGCCTGTTTTTTCTCTTTAAATGTTTTAAAATTGTTTCATATCTGGTCAGGTTGAGTTTTAAGAACCTCATTTTTAATTTGTAATAAAGGTTTACAACTTGATCTTTTCAAAAAGTCAACAAACTTCCATAAAGGTCATAAATAATTGCACTTAAAATTGCGTTTGTATCAAAATCATATGGTTATAAAACCTATTCATGACAAATAAAGTAGTGATCTGCTTTTGTTCTTCCATGAATATATGTTTTCCATAATTTTTTATTTTACATCGCTGGTTAAATTTGTTTGGGAAAGTCAATCATTTTCACACACATTCTCATTCATATTCTGACTGACTGAAGTAGGTGTTGGCAAAATATTGTCCCTAAGTCAAAATTTCTCAATGCCTGTTTTGTAAATAAAATCTTATAGGAACACAGTCATGCCAATTCACTTATACATTGTCTCCTGGGAGTATAGCTACCGTTGAACTACAATGACAGATTTGAGTAGTTGTGACAGAGATTATATGGCCTGCATAATCTAAAATATTTACTATAGAATAAATGAAATTGTAATTATTCGCAGATGACATGATATTGTACATAGAAAACCGTAAAGACTCCATCAAAAAACTAATAAATTTAATAAGTAAATTTGGCAATGTAGCAGGATACAAAGTTAACACCCAGAAGTCTATGGCTTTTTTTATACACCAACAATGAACTCATAGAAAAAGAGGAACTAAAAACACAATCCCATTTACCATTGCAACAAAAATTTTAAGATATCTAGGAATAAATTTAACCAAGGAGGTAAAGAACCTGTACTCAGAAAACTATAGGATGCTGAAAAAAAGAGATAGAGGAAGACATAAACAAATGGAAGAATATACCGTGTTCATGGATTGATAGAATTAAAATGTTCATACTACCCAAAGCAATCTATAAATTCAATGAAATTTCCATTAAAATACCAATGGCATACTTCAAAGACCTAGAACAAACTCTCCAAAAATTCATCTGGAATAAAAAAAGATCCTGAATAGCTGCAGCAATCTTGAGAAAGAAGAACAAAGTTGGAGGGATCACAATACCAGATATCAAGCTATACTGAAAAGCCACTGTTCTCAAAACTGCCTGGTACTGGCACAAGAACAGACACAGAGACCAATGGAACTGAACAGAGAACCCAGAAATCGACCCAAGCCATTATGCTCAATTAATATTTGACAAAGGAGGCAAGAGCATACAATGAAGTCAAGACAGTCTCTTCAATAATGGTGTTGGGAAAATTGGACAGATACATGCAAAAAAATGAAACTAGACCACCAACTTGCACCATACGCAAAAATAAACTCAAAATGGACAGAGGACTTAAACATAAGATGGGAAACCATAATAATCTTAGAAGAAGCCATAGTCAGCAAAATAGCAGACATTTGTCATAGCAATATATTTACCAACACAACTCCTAAGGCAATGGAATCTAAGGAGAAAATAAACAAATGGGCCTACATCAAAATAAAAAGCTTCTGCACAGCAAAAGAAACCATCAACAAAACAACAAGAAAGCCTACCGCATGGGAGAACATATTTGGCAATGTTATCTCTGATAAGCATTTAATCTCTATAATTTATAGGGAACTCATACAACTTAACAAAAGAAAGATAAACAACCCAATCAAAAAATGGGCAAAGGACCTAAATAGACACTTTTTCCAAAGAGGACATACAGAAGGCCAAGAGACATATGAAAACATACTCAAAGTCACTAATAATCCGAGAGATGCAAATCAATACAACAATGAGATACCACCTCACACCTGCCAGAATGGCTATCATCAACAAATCAACAAACGACAAGTGCTGGAGAGGATGCAGAGAAAAAGGAACCCTCTTGCAGTGCTCGTGGGAATGCAGACTGGTGTAGCCACTGTGGAAAACAGTATGGTGTTTCCTCAAAAAACTAAAAATGGAACTTCCATTTGACCCAGTGATCCCACTTCTAGGAATATATCCGAAGAAAACAGAAACACCAGTCAGAAAGGATATATGCTCCATTATGTTCATAGCAGCACAATTTACCATAGCTAAGATTTGGAAACAGCCTAAATGCCCATCAGCAGATGAGTGGATTAAAAAACTGGTACATCGGTGCTGTAAGAAAGAAGGAATTCTTACAATTTGCCACAGCATGGATGGAACTGAAGAGCATTATGCTAAGCAAAATAAGCCAGTCAGAGAAAGGTAAATATCACATGATCTCATTCATTTTTGGAATATATGAACATCATAAACTGATAAGCAAAAATAGATACAGAGACAAAGAAGCATCGAACAGACTTTCAAACTATAGCCAAAAGGCAGGGGAGAGTTGGGGGTGGGGTATAAGAGATCAATTGAAAGACTTGTATGCTTGCATATATGCATAACCAATGGACACAGACACTAGGGGGGTGAGGGCATGTGCTGGGGTTAAGGGAGGCCATGGGGAGGTCAATGGGGATAAAAGGAGACATATGTACTATTATTTGTAATACTTTAAACAATAAAAAAATAAAATAAATGAAAAAGCTCAAAAAATAAAATATTTACTATATGTATTTTTACAGAAAAAGATTGCCACCAACCCTTGGGTTAGATGACTATTGTGTTAATAATGCATTCCATATCCTTTTTAAAAAAAATATATATTTCTTTATTAATTTCAGAGAGGAAGGAAGAGGGAGCGAGCGAGAGAGAAACATCAATGATGAGAGAGAATCATTGACCGGCTGCCTCCTGCACTCCCCAAACTGGGGATCGAGCCCGCAACCCAGGCATGTGCCCTTAGCCAGAATCGAACCTGGGACTCTTCAGACTGCAGACCGACGCTCTATCCACTGAGCCAAACTGGCTAGGGCAACATTCTATATCCTTTACAGTAAGTATATTCTCTCTCCTCTGACTCCAGCTCTTCCCAACTATGTGGTAATACTAGAGTTGTCTGGACTATATCTATGGTTTGCCTTGCTCCTCACTTCCAATGTCAGATACAAGGTTCTGTGTATATTTCTTGATACATTCCAAGCCAGGCACACTTAGAGACTAGCCTCTATTCTAATGGAAATGCGATTGAAACATTCCTAATTGAGGCAATACATTGGTTTGTTTTTTGTCAGAATTCTCTTGCTATGAGAGTTCTATAATAGCAGCTCTAAGTCACTCTAGGCTTCTATCTTGTTAACCAATTTTCGTCTAAGCTTTGCTTTTTCACACCCAGTTTCTTTTCCTACACATCTGATGTTATCCACATCCTAAGCATCTATCAAATGGCAGAACAATGAAGAGACAAGTATTTTAATAATCCTCTTAAGCCATCTTTGTATTTATATGAATCTTAGGTATAGTAAAAAATACTCATATTTACTATACACACCTGGTCAGATGCAAAACTGAGTATTTCAAAACTGCATCCGATTAAAAATAGTATCACAGGGAGAGGAATTATAAAATCTTTCAAGTGTAGGTTCAAAATTGCTGCAAAAAAGTAATTATTAAAAAGCAGTAAAATATTACATTTTAAAAACTTTAATATGATTTCTTAACACTGAGGACAATGAAATATTGATCCACTACTCACTTCCTATATTCCTGTATTTGAAACCCTCCTTCACACTTAAGCACATAGAATCAGTGTAATTACTAATCCATTTCCGCTTGACCTGTTCTATGAAGTATATCATTTCTTTAGAATCATTGGTTCTTGGGTTACTACTAAAATATCTATAGCAGTTTCTCCACACGCTACAAATCAGGTAGCTTCTTTGGCAACCCTGCAATAAGGTTAATAAAAACTAAACTTGAGTGAAATCTGACTGATTCCTAAATAATAATGAGGAACTAACCGTAATAATTATGCTGGTGAGAAAAAAACTAGCTACTTATTACTAGTTAGCTACTACATAATAGAAAGCATGGATATTTAACGTTGTTAATCCTTATTATAAAGTGCAATAAGCAATATTACAGTATTTTCTTCAGTTTAATGTCTTCTGCATCTTTTAAATACAATTCTTACATCAAAGCATGTAGAAAGGTGCATCCTTTTGATATCTACAGTGTTCTTTTCTTATCATAAGAGATAGGAATAATTTATCATTTGCACAAAACCAATGGGACACCATACCCAGTGGTTAAAAAGTAACTGAACAATTCAGACCTATCACTTTGAAATTCTTTGTCCAAGTAAAGAAAACAGTGGAACAGCTAATTTTAAAATATGAATGAAACTATAGTTTATGATAACACAGATAAAAAAAATCCCCCAACCCTTGATTTTCTACTTATCTGTTTCAATTCTCCCCATCATTTAAATCTACTCAGAACCTAGTAAACTAAGAAAGTATGAATATTGTTTTAACACTATAGAGATGAAGAATAAAGATTAGATGTTACAGGTTTCTTCTCAGGGGTAGGTTTTTGTTGGATTCATTTAGTTGAAAATCAGGGAACAAATGTATGAATTTAGGACCAAAATTCTGATTTCCTACTGCTGCTACTTTTAAAAAAATTCTATACGGTGGCATTTACAAATCCATCCATAGAATAAACTAAAATAAAGAGAGTTGCACCTACCTCCAATTGTGCAGATCAAAGCCAATATTAGAATGATTTCAGGGAGGTCCTGAGGATAAGTACTGAACTTATTCTTGACAAATTCTACCCAAGTGCCACCAAATCCTTTGTTTTGGAAAGTGTAATTAGTAGTACTGAAATTCACGTTCATCCTGTAGGTTCTCACAGACCATCTGTATCCAACTCTTACGACGCTCTGCAAAACTCACACAGGATCAAAGGAAAGTAAGACTTGCCTTCTTGCTTTTCTTTCATGATAATAATTTAAAAACAACCATTATTTCTCCTTGATCCTAGTAATATCTTAGGGTCTGCCAAAATTAGGGATGCCTCCCATTCCCATCATGCTTTAAATTTAACTGAGATAAAAAAGGTACAAACCCAAGTGGTAGAGATTAGCCAGTGTCATCCCATGCTCACTCAGCGTTATTCACCTGGCATCTATCCAACTCTGACAAGATTTTTCACCTAACTTGTGGCCAGGACCACAAGTTGGTGCATATCACTTAGCTCTGGGGATGGACAACTGAGGGGCTTGTCCTCAGCTTCCCTAAGCCTTTGGAAGTACGTTCATGGTAGCTATTCCAAAGTGGGTAGCAGGATGGGAGAAGGATCTCTTTTGTTTTTCTATTCAGACAGAAATTAATAGATTATGATGGTACTCAATCATAGTCTTATATTTACCATTTGGAACACTAATGGGTCAAGTTTCCTCCAAATTTTATATATCCATACAGCAATCAAGAACAAAATAAAAATATTGAAACCAAAAGGATTTAAAACAGGGGGGTTGTTAGATGTTCTGTCTCATTGTTACTTCTTAGATGAGGAACAACAAGGGTTATTTTGTGCCTTGGCTTGAAGGAATAGATAGTAGCTGCAGTCTGCAATCCCACCTGCTTCTGTGGTAAGGAAAGTTTTACATTGGTGCTCTCAAACTTCCTGAGGGATATTCTTCCAATTCTTTCTCTCCTAACAGTGGCTTAACATTTTCTACTGTCCACTATTAGCATCTGATCTGGCTGCCTTGAAAAGTAATCAATTAGTTTTACTAAACTTCTCTTTTTTCAGTTTCAACTATATATATATATATATATATATATATATATATATATATATATATATATTACTAGTACATGCTCTTTTCTGATCAAAATCAATATTTTAAAGAGAAAATTAAATGAATATGTGCTTATTATAAAAACTTTTGACATAATTATATAAACAAACATTTCAAAAACAGAAAACCATCCAGTTATGGCATCTAGTGGCTCTTATATGTTTTATTTACATAGTTGGGTTCATCCTTATATAATCATACTTTATGCTCTTTTCCACTTGGTATCCTATCAGCTGCCTCAAAGAGCCTTGTAAAGAGCATTAACCAAGTTTGTAGCATGTTGACACCAATATAAAAGTGCCTACTCTGGTCAGACGGCCTGCATGCAAAGGCCTGATGAGTTGCTGCTTACAGGGTGAAAGAATGAGCAACTTACTTCAATGCTGTTGGCCTCAGTTTTCCAACCTGTATAGCTTCTAGTCTGTGTCTTCTATCTCTCTTCCTAGATTTATTATTTTTTATTTGGAATCACCTGGGGAGCTATAATAATAGTGGTGCCTGGGTCTTATCCCTAGGGATTCCTATTGCAATCAGTCTTGAATTTCAGTCTGTGCTCCCCAGGCAATTTTAATAGATAGCCAAGGTTAGGGACCACTGTGATTCACCCAATGAAAAGGCAACACTGCTCAGTTTTTCAATGTTCCTGAGTCAGTTTTTCTGAGAAAGGGTATCAATGACTTTCAGTCGAAATGACTGGAAACACGTCTGTCATTGACAAGTTTGGGTTATTTATTTATTTAGTCTCAGTGAGGGAGAATGTTCACCCTGGGGAACTGCGGGCTATTTCAGTGAAAGGATGTAGGAAAGAACTTATTGTGGACATGGGCCGTGTCTGGGTAATTTTGAAGAGGGTTTAAGGAAGTGAGGGGTTACAATAGGTGGGTTTTGTCAGAAAGTAAGGACAATTCTGTGATTGGGCATCTCAAGAAATCTTATCTAGAAGGAGCTGTAATGGGTATAGAGGCAGCAGTCATTCATTTTAGCAGGGGCTGAGAATGTTTGATAATTGTATGGGCTGCACGGTGACTTTGTTTTGTCTCACTTTATTATGGTCTCAGAATGACCTCATCGGATGCTGATATTCTTTGCGATTGTTTATGTCCAACTGGAGAGCGACACGGACTAGCTGTAAGCATCCGACTGACTTGTATTGTAGTAACTCTGAATGAGACCTAATTCCACTAGTAAGCATCACACTGGTTTACTGCTGTCAGCAGCTGATTTTTGTTTGTTTGTTTGATTGATTTTTGTTTTACCTGAAAAGGATCTAAGTTTTTTATCCTCACTTTAACATGTCAAGAGCTGGTGGTAGAGCAAGCTCAGCCATCCCTCTAAGAGAGAGATTCTTAACCTTGGCTACCCACTGGAGTCACTTAGAGAGCTGTAAAACTCCAGGCGCCTGGGTGGCATCCCCGGAAGTCAATTTAACTGGTCTGAGCATTGTGAACTTCTAATGTTTCCCAGTGCTTTAAGGAGCAGCCATTATTTAGAAGCACTGCTCTAGGAGAAGCCCATGCCATTGCGATATTTGCTCTTGTTTAGCTAACGGCGCCCTATTTAGGACACTTACTAACTTTTCCACTGTGACTCCAGGACTAAACATCCTGGGCCCCAACAAAAAGAAAAAGCATTTTCTGCATGCTCTCAGAATTTAATGCAGTAGTTAAGTAGACTGTTGTTTCCTAAACTAAAAGTGGGGGTCCACAGGCCCATAAGCACTTTCTCATTTCTAAATTTTTTTATTTGAAAACTTTAATAAGAGTTTACACAGTCAATCCTAATAAGTCATTTTTAGAAACGAATAAAACTACTCAACTCTTTTCTGTAAATATGTGGCAAATACTCAGTTTGGCTGCTTCAACCTCTACTTCAAATTCTCCTAACAAATCTTTTCCCCAAGAAATGATCTCGCCATAAATTAGCATGTAAATGCTAATGTTACTCTAGTTTAGTAATTTAAAAGACTGATTTTCCATGTAATTAAAACTTCGTCAGCCTAAATTGATTTTTGGCAACTTTGGATAAGTTTATGAAACTCTATCTCATTTAAAAAAATACTGATTTGTCTTGAAATTACCATGTAGGTTTTCAATAAATGAGATAATGGCTAAATTCTCTTTGTGTGGAGTTAATTAATGACTGCCCTCTCAGAAATGGCATGTAGGTTTGTCCTCAACAGTCAGTCTTTTGCAATTCTTTCTCATGGAGTAGAAGTGATACTAATTCACCGTTTCTGAAAATGGGAGTTCTTTTTTCCTTTAAAAAAATGTTTTTAGCCCTGACTGGTTTGGCTCAGTGGATACAGCGTCAGCCTGTGGACTCAAGGGTCCCAGGTTCGATTCCAGTCAAGGACATGTACCTGGGTTTCGGGCACATACCCAGTGGGGAGTGTGCAGGAGGCAGCTGATTGATGTTTCTAACTCACTATCCCTCTCCCTTCCTCTCTGTAAAAAAAACAATAAAATATATTTTTAAAATGTTTTTATGGATTTTAGACAGGAAGGGAGAGGGAGAGAGAGAAACATCCATGGCAGCCGTGGGCAAACTACCGCCGCGGGCCGGATCCGGCCCTTCGGCTGTTCCATCCGGCCGGCGGAGCGGAAAGAGCGGAGGGTTCTCTTGCTCTCCCCTCCGCTCCTTCACCAGCAGCAGTGTTAACATGGCAACGAGGGGAAAAACATCGGCAGCTGCTTCTTCTGAGTCCAGTTTAAGAACCCATTGTGGCCCTCGAGTCAAAAAGTTTGCCCACCCCTGATCCATGGGCTCCTCCTGCATGCCGCCTCTTGGAGTTGGGGCCCGAAACCATGAATCCAACAATGACCTCTTGGTGAATGGAATAAAGCTCAACCAAGTGAACCACACCGGCCAGAGCTCTTTCTTCCTCTTAATCAGTACATTTGGCGGGATTAAGGTGACAAAGTATCCTACCCAAACATCCCAGTAATCTTCACCAGCTGCCAAGCTCTTGCTAAATGGTTTATGGCAGATAAACTGGGATTAGCTTATCTTCTCAGTAAACTCTCCTACCCCAGAACACAGCAGCGTCTTACTCACAGACTCTGAAGGTGGCTGGTCTGTTGCCCTGCTAATTCGGCTTCACGCATTCCTCCCTCAGCTCCAGCTCAGTTCCCGGCACCTGAGGAGATTCACCGCAGCATCAGTGTGCTTTCCTCCCAGTTCCTCGTTAAAGAGGGAAGGAACACGAGCCAAGTGAATAATTAGGAAAGTTGATAGAGGAAGTTACTGGAGCATGGGGCAGGGGGTAAGGGACAGACATTCCAACTGAGAGACTGGTTGATCTTTGGGGAAGTCCTTGATCAGCTGCCAAGGGAAAGGTGGGAACTCCAAGCGTTAAGAGATGGCTGAGTCCGTAGCTGGAATACATTTGTTCATCTTAGAGGGAGGCTGAAAAAGAAAGTACCAGAGTGGAAGGGCAACTTCCAGAAGGGGAAGCTAGGAATGACTCACCATTCAAAGCTTCAGGAGGAATATCCTGTGGTATGTAAATGAGTAGAGGTTAGCTATTTCGTTCACCCAAAGCAGTCACAACCAACTGCACAACCTCGCTGACAGTTATTTGCCCCAAGCCCCGCCCCCTGCTCTGCACTCATTGGCTTTGAGTTTATAACCCCAGATTTGATTGGATGATGAAATAGAGTCCTCAAAGGTGTTAGCGTTAGTCTCCGTGTACACCTAAGGCAACCTTTGAATATTTAAAGTGTGTTGCTATATTTCTTAAATAACCAACAGTGAAAATGGGCCTCCAGAAATTTTGTTGCTGTGTTAATTTAAAGCTTTGGTATAGTGAATTTCTAACAAAAATCCCATGGACACAGTTTTCCCAGAATTCTAGTAGCAGTGAGTTTTCTGAATAAGAAGACAGGATGGTAGAGATTTTGAAATGTGAAAATGCAGGTTACCATTAGGGGGGAAAAAAAAAAAAAAAAAAACTATTCTGGGCATGTAGGAAATGTCTGGGTCATTTATTGGGGAAATTTTTTAGTAATAATGATATACTCATTTCTTTTGTATGTAAAGCATAATATGTAAAGTTTTTTTTTTTTTTAATT